CCTAAACCCTAAACCCTAAACCCTAAACCCTAAACCCTAAACCCTAAACCCTAAACCCTAAACCCTAAACCCTAAACCCTAAACCCTAAACCCTAAACCCTAAACCCTAAACCCTAAACCCTAAACCCTAAACCCTAAACCCTAAACCCTAAACCCTAAACCCTAAACCCTAAACCCTAAACCCCTAAACCCTAAACCCTAAACCCTAAACCCTAAACCCTAAACCCCTAAACCCTGAATTCAGAGCCGGGCGGCCAATTTAAGTAAAACTTTAGTACCTACGCTACGCAATCCGGGGCTTCCATAACCTTTAAACGACAAAATTTTTTGTCTGGAGTGTAGCAATTTCGGCAGTTTCAGAGCTGCAAGTGCCTCATGAAGGGGGTGGGGGGTAGTTGAATGAGAGATAGTACGGGGTTGATGCGCTAGTCTAATCCTGATATAAGATGGGTGGGGGTCATTTTGGAGTAGGTGGGGGTTTGCAATAATCGCAATGGTGGCGCGCGCATGCTGGCGAGGAGAGCATCCAGTTCCACAGTAGCAGCACCTCGTCAGCCTGCAGAACATCTCCACGTATTGAGAGATAGATTTTATATCAATTTCTAATCTAAGGTGAATGATATCTTGATTGTGTGAGGTACAACATTCTGTTTTCACCATTTTTTGAGCCGCCAACCGCTGTAGATTTACATTTAGAAGTACCATGCCGGATGATTTCGGTGTGCTGACTCGCTTCTGAAGCAAAGTTGATCTTGTACAAATGTTACTAAAAAGGATTCATTTCTTAGCTATATTATCTTATACCATTTCACCGATGTTGATCTTGGTGCTCCTGTAAGCAATTTCTACGCGACGCTGGTCCGCAGATACCAAATGGTCTCTTAAGAGGATCATTCTTGCTACAAAGTGAACAACAGAAGGTAGTGTACAAACCCTTTCCATTGCCACTTCGACAAATCCTGCATCTCACTCTTTTCAACCGCTGTGCATTACCCACTTGTGTACTTTGTTGGATGAAAGATCGAGCGTGGTCGTCAACAAGTATCAGTTGGTGATCATCCAACGGCGCTTCTGCTTCATGACTGTCATCATCCACGCTGGTATCTGTGCTATCCTGTCCTCCTCTTCTTGGAATCGATGAATCTGGACAACCTTCGTACGAATTTCTCATCAATGCTTTGGCCAGGGCGTCAGTAAACATCAGATGTTTGGGGACTTCTTTCGGTGGCATTCCAATACGGAAAATCTTGTATGCATCCACTTCAATGAACCCAAGTATCGTACAGAACATTCTGAATCTCCAGTCATGAGTTCCAACTTTTTCTTCCAGTCCCAGTCCACTCTGTCTCAGGTGATTGTGCACATCGATCACAGATGCTCCGTTGAAATATGACTTGATCATGGCCGTTCTTGGCGTTGACAGTGTTTTTTTCTTCCCTGTTCCTGGCTGACCCTTCCGTCGATACCGAATTTTCAAATGGGGATCGGTTTCTTCTGTTGTATTCCATGTCGAAATGAGAAGTTTTCTTGGGGTATCAGGCCTGCCAGGTTCATTCCATGCATGCCCGAAAATGAACATTTCCCTGCCATTATGCTGCCATGAAGTTGATACGGTCTTCGTAGCACCTCTTACTGCACTAGCCTCCCATGCATCCTTGTTCAGATATTGTTTTGGAAAGCCTCTGTGACATTGTTTGACCAATCCTGTGAAAAAAGTGTTCCTCTCCAACAGAGCTTGTGCAGTTGACACTGACGCAAAAGCGGAATCTGCGTAAAGAATGTGACCCTGGTTGAAGTAAGGCTTCATCAATCTGAGAACCCATGATGTATGCTTCGGATATTGATCAGTAAATTCTTGATTCTCCATCACTCGTTTGCCTTCTTGTAACTCCAGCTGCAACATAATTCCGTAGGTACACTCTGCAATGTTCTTGTACTCACTGCCAATACCTTGTGGTTTTCGGGCAATTTTTGTTAGAAATGGGATTCCATCATCAACGTCCTTCATACAAAGTCAGTCACACAAATTTCCAACACAATATGGTAGGATACCTCAGCAACTGGTATCCATTTACCCATGCTTTCATCCAAAATGAATTCAGATCCAGGACGAATTGTTTGCAATCTGTTCGCATTGAAAGCGTGTATAAGGGGTCGGATACAATTAAAAGCATTGTCTGTAATGTATGCATACGGAGGCCCTGAGCGAATTTTATGTGCTTTCGCCATTGTTCGAATCGACAACGACTGACTCCAAAGCGCTTACTACGGACTGGCAGAGTCGTAATCGCTGCCCGGTGGCATTGTAGAGTTCTCATGAACGGAGCACACCCATGAACTCAGCCGAAGCCATTCATGTACAGTGAACGGTTTCACATTTGCTGGCAAAGAATTGTTCGTCCAGAGCAAACAACATCCAGTTTCGTCACAATCTCCGAAAAAATACTTCCACGGAAGCAGAAATTTCCAGCAATCAAATGGAGTTTTCTCGTCAAGGATCTGCAGAGCTGGTGTCCAGCGAATCACAGTTTTGCGCCGCGATTGCAAATCCACTTGACAGTCGTTGATCTTCTGCAACACCAGTCGGTGATAACTGCCAAACGAGGACATTTTCTCCAAAATTGCAATTGATGGTCATAGGCGAAGAGCCTCGGAATCATTTTCATGGTTTGATTCCCCTTGCATAGGGACTCAGGGTCATGATGAGACACCCGGTGACTACATCATTAGAGCCAGCGTCATCGGACGCGGCTACATCGCGGGCAGCGGAAACATTGGTAGAATTTTGCAAATTTGGCATTTCCCCAGGCAACAATGTGGATCGTAAGGTACTCTCCAAGACGCTAATTTTCATTCTTTCACCAGGCAAGTACCAATCAACCATCCATCTACCATTCCCACACTTCGCTATCACCTTTCCAGTTATCGCGACGGAGTTCCAATCGCATCTATGCACGCCCATGAGAATGCTCTTTGCAGGCCTGAAACGGCCAAACATCTTAGTGACTTTTCACAGTTATCTCCTGTCCTATCTCGACAACGGGTTGGTCGTTTGCAACGCGAATTTCAGCGTTGGAAAGTTCTTCCTCCCCTCTTCCTTCCCCTGCCATTTTCCCCGCCTTTATGCCCTTCCGAGGGCCAAGGGGGCTGTATGAGGGCTCGAAAAAGGGACTCCCCGGGGAGTCCGGGATTCCCAGGGGAGGCCGCAGTTTGTCGATTAAAGGATAAGACCTCTACTAAACCGTTAGAGCTCGTTACAGTGTGGAAAGTCTGGTTTTCTGCTCAACATGCTGAGCTCCAAATTTTTTTTGCAATGGACTGCGCAATTTAGATACGGAAGATCTCTGCATTCATGCTTTCAAGCTCATTGTGTGATAAGACGGTTAGATGCCGGATGCAGACACAATAGCCAGCGCTTGTTTTGTACCCCTCCATCCGGAAATACCAAAAACACAGGTGAAAATGACAAAGATGACGCAACTTTGGAGAGAGGATCTTCGGCTCCGAATAAAACTCAAGTCAGTCAGCAATCTACTGGACAAGACCAAAATGACAAGAAATTGAATCTGATGGAGTTTGCCAGGCTGTTTGAGCCTGAAGAGGGCAGAAGACAAGAATTTCCGACTGATTGGCTTGGAAGCTGGAAAATGCATAGAAAGATCAGAGTGAGTCTCATGCAGAGATATCTGGCAAATACCTCCTTGCGCTATATAAATAGGTACCTGGATCAAAAGTTCGACGTGGAAGAATTCATGACAGGCGCGAAAATGGCATACAAAATTATTCGACACGTGGTGGCAAATAGTCGCAAGGCAGATGACCTTGATTTGCTCGACGGCATTGTTTGTCCGAAGCTACTCCAAAAAATGCGAGATAGTGTTTCGTCTGCATCTGTGACAGAAAGAAATCTTGGCTTAGAAGTGCATGACATATACTGCGAGGTCATTCAGCCAAAGATACGGCTGGAAGCTTTTGAAAAAATGGACGAGAAGTCAATGTCATGGAAAGATGCCTTTGAGCATCGTAATCGTACTCTGCAGAGAGGAGAGTGGATGCAGATCAAAGTAAGGTTCTTGGCTCTCGAAAACGTCTTCTTGAACGCAGCCAGTGGAAGCCGAACAAGCATTAGGTCGTCGATGAATCCTAGCACATGGACGTTTCAAGGGAAAGTTTGGAATGTAGATACATCTGCAACGCAGCTCGACTCAGAAGAGCCGACCTTTTACCCAAGGGTACAGAACCCAGACTTATCTTGGCAACTGATAGCCATAGAGTACTGGTAATAGGTATGGACTTCTGAAAGGAAATTTGAGTTCTGGTTTTCGCTGCTGTTCTGACGTATTAGAAAGGATTTATTTCTTGAAGTTTTACAATCAAATACACTCCAGCTTTGAGTTCTTTGAGAAGTAATCGGGCAGTGTGCATGCTTTGGGTAAAACAAGCAGAACCCCGATTTGATGCAAAGCTAAACCCTCTCATTGTTCAGGGCAAGAAAATTCAAGGACACATGATATTGTTTAGCACATCACTTTCTTTAACGAATCCCGAGAACAAATTTTTGAGTTCGTCCGTATCCATACACTGTGGACCCGTACAACACAACACTTGCGCACAAGTATAGAATCTCATCGTCGCGGATTTCAATATACGGAAAGAATGTCACTGCAGCAATTCTCGAAAAACAGACAATGCCTGTAAAAACAGAATGACTGTACCAGCTTGAATTGTAGAGCATCGACACAAAACACAGAATGAGCATTGCAACAAATCTTTGCTCCCTAACAACATTATTTTGAAAGCATTCCGCGGAAAATGAAAGCATCCGTAACCAGATAAGACATCTGAGAACCAAAGCCGTTTTGATCTTGTCCTTCATCGAAAGCTCGCTAGCAGAACGATTCAGCATCCATCCGACGATGATGAAGGGAAGAGCTCGCAGAGTTCTTGATTGACTCGAATAAATGCCATACTTGTAAATTCTCACGGCGAATAAGATAATGTGAAAGAAAGTTCCAAGATAGAGAAGTACTTGGTTCGCGATAAATATGTAGGGCAGACAATGAACGTTGACATATTTCGTCATCCACCCTTCCTCTTCGGTTTGATGCAGCACATGCTCCATCCATAATTTGCTACGACGTCGCTTTTGCATTCTGACACCACGGCAGATTGAAAGATCACAACATACACTTCAAGCAAGTCAAGGAGCAGAGTGGTACATCAAATCGGCACTCAGCCAGACGAACGCATGCAGCAGGCCCTTCCACCTCCTCGAGCGCATATGATTGCCCGCATCCACAGTAACAAATTTAAGTAAATAATGTAGTACGAATTAGAGCTACACTTTACTAAAACTTATATTGATGCAGGCGGGTCCATGCGGGGTAATCCAACCTTTCGTGGGAGTGCACCCACGCCCACCTCGGAGTCATAGAACGCGAAGGGCCATACATGATGGTACACCGTTGGAGGGAGCGGCAGGCTGGGCCATCACTACTGCGGGTATCCTTCCTCGTTGCCATTATTGCAATGTGCTCTTTTGTGTTCCTTGAAAGCTTCTTGAACGAGGAATCAAGTTCATATCCTGCCAGCACCCAGCTTCTTGCAAGCAATCATCAGCTTCACATCGACGTTCCGATCAAACAGCTTGCTGAAACAAGAGTCGGAGACATTGTCAAGGGGCGCATGCTGTCAGACACAAATGGTGCTAAGCGCTATGTTAATTGGATGGGGACGATCACGGCAGACACAGTAATTTCTCCGAAACAGGGGTGCATCACCGTAAGAGTGATCTCAGACAGATACATTGCTCCTGGTACTCCAGTGAGCGGAACGGTGGGGAGTGCTGGCTTCCTTGGAACAGTCGTTGGAAGTCCAAACCATCTTCAAAGAATTGGAAGTATTGAGCGAAGACTTGAAGCACTTGAGCCAAGATCACGAGGAGAGGTATGTGTGAAACTAGCATGAAGATTTTTTCACGTTTTGTTAGGTTCAAGCACTTCAGCGTAAAGTTAAGCGCCTTAAGCGCCAGCTTGATCACCTTGAAGGGCACAAGACCGTTCAGGAGAGATTGCTTGAGATGGAAAAGAGGATTGTTGAACTCGAGAAAAGACCGGTATTTATCTCTGTTGACTTGGCACAACTGACGGTTTTTCTTGCTTAGCCGTCAGAAAATGCTTTGGTATTTTCTGGAAATGTTGCAGGAATGCATTTTACGGGAGCTGTTGGTACGTTGTGAAAGACGCATATTTTCATCCTGTGAGGGAAGTTCTCAGGACCTACAGATTATCCCGATCTAGCTTCACGTATCGACAAAATTGATGGAAGAATCGCAGCTCTGGAAAATCGACCAAAGCCAAGCGAAGCAGTGATTTATTAAACTCATTCAATTTCTTCATGTACTGAATTTTTCCAAGGTTCAACCGATCAAGGAGAAGATCAGGGAGTTAGAAGCTAGGCTGGATGATCTTACCAGGTATAGGCAGATTTCGCCTCCACAGATGGTCAGACTTTATTTGCAGTCCGGAGGGTCTCGTGACAGCCAAGAATGAAATGGCAGAAATGGAAAAACGATTGTCTGAATTGGAGAGCGAGTATGAATACAGTCGATTTGCTAGCATTACAAGTGACGTGACTATATCCTTTCTTGAGCAGATACGGAGGCGGTGGAGGAGAGAACAGTAAATGGTATGGCACAGAGGAGTATCATGGTAAGATTTGTGCGGCTTTCTGCCTCTTTGATCAAAGGTCTTGCAGGATTGTATTCCAAACCATCCAGGGTGCCACTAAGGGGCAGAGAAATGGACCATTATCCAGGGGGTATCTCCTAACTTGTCGGGAATACACTTCAATATTTGAATACCCGCGTCAGATTTGTTTTCGAAACTTGTTTGTGCCCACATTAGTGCTTTCTCTGCACATCACAGAGGACGCATTCTATTATTTGAAAGATTTTGCATTCCACGTTTATTCCTCCCACGATGATTTAAGCCTTGACTGCATACTTGCGCTGAGGGAAGTACTTGGCCTTCTTGATGGCCTTAAGAGTCTGCTTGGATGCCTGAGGTAGATTTAACACAAACAAAATCAGTTTTCAACCCGATACCTGTTCAGGAGAGAGCTTTCTCCTAAGAGCACGGGTCAACTTAGCTCTGATGTCAAGGGGCTTGTAAATCTCATCAGCGGATTTCTGAGACTGAAGTCAAACTGTGTTTCAACGACAACTTGAATAAATTACATCTCGGATGGCTTGCTTCTTGTTCTGATTATACACTGTCAAAACTCTTGCGATAGACTTCCTCACAACTTTGCTGTTGCAGATAAATCAGGGCTAACGATCAAACCAAATTGGTATGATCATAGTCTTACATCTTTGAGAGTTTTGAAGCGGCACCTCCAGTAACCTTAGCGACTCTCAGCTGCTGAAGCTCGGTTTTCAACTCATCAAGCTGGCGGAGGAGCTCCTCTCTACTCTTGCCTCTAAGCTCATGAGCCTTGACCTTCACTGTAATGGGGAAGTCAATAAGTCAATAAGTCAATAAGTCAACCAGTTCATAACTTCAAGGATGAGTTTCAGGGACAAGACATGTGTAATCAACTTTCATATCATCATTAAGCAATTCAGGATAACAGCTGCTGCGAGCTTGCATATTCAAACATGATTGAAGTACATATATCAACCCTCTGCTGGCAATACAGTGCAGCAACGATATCATCGAGCCAAGCACCATGCGATACAAATATTCCATCCAAACGAACATTTCGTGTTGAATATGTGCAGCCAAGGAGAACCAGAGCTAACACACAAAATGTGAATGGCATCAATAGAAAGTAAACAACTCGCATGTTTTTCGCAAAGCACAGAATCTCATTGGTGGAAGTGGCTTCGCCCATGTTCACATCGCTCGCTTACCCATGGTGCCGGGTGTGTGATTGCACGAGGCCTGTTTTTTTTTCTATTAGGAGGCTCGTTACACTGTGACGGTTAAGACCGTTACGGGGATTCGGCCCGGGCCCGGTACGGTTCGCCCGGGTCAGGTCTGATCGTTTTTTAGTTATCATCATCTCAAACGTACAAGCCTGAGAATGGCAGGAAGGGGACCAGCGATCCGGTGTGGGATCCAATAGCGGCTGAGAGACTTTCCTGGTGATAGGATCATCAAGGGGTTTGGTTAGCTCTTTTACATCTTCAAGAAGTGATTGTTAGCGATGGTACTTCAGCCGAGCTCCTCTGAGGCTCTAAGACTCTTTACATGCTTTGGCCTGTTCCTTCTGTCAAACTCATTCCAAGCAGTGAACATCGCTGTACGTGACGTGAACTCGGTGATGGATGCTTCAAGTGGTTTTTTTTTCAATTCACGATCAAATCAGGATAAGTCTAGTACGAAACTCTACAGCAGCCAGCAGGATACAAGGAGAATATGTAATGTTTTTGACTTTCGAAGATTGGTTCCATACCAAGAGGGTCTGCAACTGCAACAAAATCTTCAACAAGATTCGATCAAAGCGCTTGTAGGAGGACATCAGACATCAGACGCTCTCATCTTGTTGGAGTAGGTCTCATGGCCCCTCGAAATCTAATATGATGTTTGATGTGCAGACATCCAACTGTTTACACGCTGGGATCGAGCTCAGTGCTGTCGGATATTCTATTTGAGCTCCCTGACATTGACATAACGAATGTAAGAGTTTACATCTCCAAACGAGAACATATTGAAGATCCAATTGCAACACGCATTCGTGCCAATTTTCTGTGATCCTTTTTTGAAGGTGGGAGCCAAGGTAGTTGTTGAAGATTATCCCGAAATGCCGCCATTCTCCATCTTCAGGTTTATCCATTGATGAAGTTTCTCATGTCAGCCCGCTTTTCAGGGTTCAACGCGGGGGCAAAGTAACTTATCATTGCCCAGGACAGCTTGTATTAAGTACGTTGACACTAGCGTCAGATAACGGAATTTTCAGGTGGTCTATCCCATTCTTGATTTGAATTATCATGGAAAAGACATTGAGCGATACCTGCGAAACTTGGAACAGCTGATTATCAACACTCTTGCAAGATTTGGGGTGCGGGGGGCTCGAGAAGAAGGCGATTAACCCTACCTAGACCACAGATGTTGAATTTGAAGCAGGTTTGACTGGCGTATGGATAAGTGGAAAGAAGGTTGCGGCGATCGGGATAGGAGCTAGCAGGTTGACATGATTTTATCGGGTAAAAAGTCATCAGTCTCAAGGTGGATTACCATGCATGGAATTGCACTCAACATCAATGCACTGATGAAAGGTTTTGAAATGATAGTTCCTTGTGGCATTAAGGTATTTTCTCTGTTGGCTGTACTTCACTCAATGTGGATGTCTTACCTAAAACAGGATAGAGACGTTACAAGCTTGCACCAAATTCTTGGGGATTCATGCCCCTCTGTTGAAGAAGTATTTAATTGGAATCAATATTGCCCGTTTCTCATTTCTTTCCAGGTCAAGCTTTGTTTGAAAGATGAATTTGCAAAAGTTGACCTTCTGTCCATCAAGCGTTATTTCTAACTTTCTCACAGATTTTTGAGCTGCAGCTATGCGATGTAGAATTTCCAAATAAGAGTTCCTACTGAGGCTTTTCGTTGTTGCTGAGATCACATTTGACATATCTCGTTTTGTATCATTTCTGCAGTAACACATAAACAACTGGGTGGCAACCACAACAGATGATTTCAGCTGCTGATCCCACAACTGTCTCTCGAAACTTAGCTATCAATGTTTTGACATTGCTCTCACCTTCCCAATTGTATTTGGCATATCAATTCGAGCTCGATAACAAACGCACAGAAGACAAGTACATGCGCTTCCCTGTACGCGAAGACTGTCTGACTCCAAGATAGTGGTTTGAAGCAAGCACAGGTTTGCAGATTTTGGATATTATAAGCACTTTGTTACTCTCTGACAGGAAAATTTTGGAAGACATTGCTGCATTTCTGTCCAATGCATAAGCGCATGCCTGATTGATGATAAATCAGCAGAAAAGTTCAGAACATTTTAGATGACCATGTTTGCGTAGCTTTCTGCCTCCCCCTCAAAGATCTAATCTTGCTTGCGCAATCGCCGAACCCCCCCTGGCTCCGTGTGCCATGACCTGAATTTGCATCATGCATTTTAAAGCTTTTCAGCCTACTTTACCATGTAGTGATAAGCGACACCAACACCCTCCTCGTCACCAATGTTCATACATTTCTGCATTTCTAAACTACTATCGCAACATCCTTGTTGCAAGTAAACCTAGAATCAAATTACTTTATGCAAGATATAAGCAAGAATGACCTTGGCGAGGCCATGATAAGCTTTGCATTAATTTAGCAATGCTGCTCGGATGCATGGGAAATGCAGTGTGCAGTCTGGTGTGCAGTTGTAAGCGATAGCAGCTGTCGCTACGGTCTGCTCTGAGGCAAGCTGTAGTTTTATCATGTGCAATGCCAATAGTTCTTGAAGACTCTGATAATGGGGGGTGGGGGTAGTCATCGGATTAGCCGGGGCGACGGAAATAACCAAAAGATGAGCAACAGTGGAAAAAGCGTTCTTTCAAGCAACGATGACATTACGGCTACGTCAAGCGTCAGCAAAAGATCAGCAAAACATACCGTCTCCGTCACTGCGTCAGCTCCAGGCCTTACGTCGACTTTCACTTCGTTGATCTCTCTCTCATTACATCCCTGAGCATCCTTGGCTCAACTGCGACCACGTGCGTGTGCATCTATCAACCACTTTTTTGCAGTAGGCCTTACTCAAAACATGTCGAATTTCTGCCAAGTATCCCAGGACAGCAACCAGAAAAAACGAGGTGTCCTCGCTATTCTCGATGGAGATTCGTCTAGAGACAGAGATGACTCTTTCTGCGAAGTAAAGGAAATGTTGTCTGTCGGTTGTAATGGAACGACTGGAATTCTGATGAGACAGCACAATACAGACAGCACGAACGTGCAGAATCTTGAGATGCGAGAGGATGGGCAGAACAAAGAAAACATAGATCTTTTAGAAAAGATCTTAAGGATTTGGTAGAAAAGGCATACCTGAGTATTTTCTCAATATAAGTGCATGTACATAGACCTGTAATAAAACAAGAATATGTAACACGATCAACCTTGACGGGTGTTTGTTTCATCCTGAGCGATTTTATTGGAGATCTGTCTCAAGGCATCGCGAAAGCTACAAAAAAAAAATCGACTCGACTTGAAGTCACTTCAACAAACAAACAGATCACAAAATCTGCGTGCAACAAATGCGCGACGTGTACATGTCAAAAAGCCAGGGCGTTCAAGATACCGAATCTCATGCTGAAGACATCCGGAAAGTTCAATCTAGCTTGGAGAGCAGACGAATCCCACTGAGATTGCCGGAGACGTTTGCCCATGCTTTCAGCTAGAGCTGAGGACAACAACCGAGCTTGAGTTGAAGACTCCTCCGTTTCCTTTGTAAGAGATCACCAAACGAAGTGATTCGTACGCGCATACCGTAGACCAGTGCCCGCTTGCAGTTCGGAATTTGCCGCCCGCCTAGATAACCCGAGTTTTCAGCCAGAGCTAGATATCTTCAACAGACCTTCTGTCGCTGTCAACGAAAGCTGTTCGAATGCCTCAATCAAAGCAAAAAATGCAGGCACCTAGATAATTTCAGCTTCATTTACTCAACTCTTCCTGATACCTCCCAGGGCGCACCGAAGGACAAAAGCCCTCCATGCGTATTGACTGGAAAATCTTTCACAGACAAGCGTTGTTTCATTGACCTACAGTCGTTCCAAATCCTGCAATCTAAATCAAGAAGGCGGGCACACACAGAGTCTGCAATCACCTAAACTTATCTTCGATCCATTGTCCTCCTTGCCCTTCCTTTGCAAGCCCTGAAGCTTCCACTGCTCTGTAGATGCATATGTTTGTTATTTGGAATCTCTCTTGAATGCTTGTTTTTACCGGAGAAAACATATCGGGAAACAATCATAGAGTCCAAAGAAATCAATGTCCTTGGCAGAACAATTGCAAGAATCGTAGCTGCAAGGATGAAGTCATACCACGGTCAGTCCACACAACCAAAAACATGGAGAATTATTACGCTCTCTGGAAGGCATGTTTGGCGGAAGAAATCCTGGAAAGCGTAGATTGATAGTCCTCTACTGTCAGTGCAGGGCTTGAAGCTTCTCCACCGCCCACAACTTTGATATTCCTGGCAGCAAGCAACTCAAGAAGAAATGTGCATACAAAATTATTGTTTACCCTTTCTTAGTAACAACAATTGCAGCAGCACCATCAGCCTTTCGGGCGCACTCGAGCAAGTTGAGATTTTGGCCTACAGTCTGAAACGGCCACGCCCAGACGCAACAGCTCAAAACGTCACAAGATCTGACTAAGTTGATTATTACGAGAACAAGATCACCGTCGAATTCAAGACTTCGTCCAAATCGTATGGCCTGCGTTGCACGGCAAGCGGATGATACGTCGCCTGAGCTGACATCAGGACGGAAACCATTGCCAGCTGCACAGCAAAGCTTAGTGGCAAGTAAAAAGTAGATCAAAGGCATTGATACCTGCTCTCTAGAAACATTATGTTTTTGCATATGGGCTGTTGTGCAATGGGCATACGCATTTGGTATGTACGGAGACTTGAGATATGAGATATTTTGGCGGACTTCTCTTGACGCAAAAGCCTCATCAGCTCTTTCAACAAATTCTCTGGGGTTGAGTGAAGAAACCGAATCCCCTCCCACAACGACCACAACATTATAGCCTTCGTTCTCAACCATTTGCTTTGCCTGACAAATTGTAAGAGGGGAGGGGTTGTAGTCATCATGATGGTGTAAAGTGCCTGCAACAACATCGATACGGGACTTGCTCCCCCAACATCAATCGTTTTCGCACAGAACGGCCTTCTTTGAGCGTGATCAAATAGATCGCATTCCTTCCAAAATGGTCATGATGATAAAACACTGCAAATCCGAGTGCAATCACAGTTGCGATATGATGCGCTTCCATGAACTTCGGGTCCGACAACGAAGGGCATGCAAGCTAACAAGGCAAATAGATATTGAAAACCTAAATGGAAATATGGGAAATAAATACCAGGGCGTCTACACTTGTCTTTGCGATTTGTGCCCGTCCAAGAGCTCGTGACAAAGCTTCCTGTATAAGTTGCGAAGGCCTCAATCCCAACCTACGTGTTGCGATCATTCAAGCTGTAGATTGTCAGAGGATCAAGCGGAATAGCTCGACTTTGCATGGACATGATCTGAGCCACTGAGTGCAAGCATCAGCCTCCTCTTGAAGTCATCACCTCACTCCGATGCGCGATGCGCCCCAACCGCTCACAGTAGCCATAGCAGGGCAGATAGCAGGGATTGTTTTTCTAGCAGGGTTTACCTTGAACTTTCCGGGTTTAGTTATTTTAGATGTCCGCATCTCTGAGGCGGTTTTGTATTAAGTAGGCTACTCTTGATGAAATTGCGACAATGCACCCTCTGAAATTGCAGCTTGTTTCATTCTATACAATGAAATTGATCATGAACAACAGCTTGGGCATGAAAAATAGTTTGATGAGTTGATTTGCAAAGCAGAGCGAGATCAGACCTTGTTTTATTGATTTTACGTGACTCATAGCATGTGAGGAAAAGAAAATAAGGCTCTTGATTCGTCAATATGAATAACTCCTCCCAAGATGGATTATGTGATGAAAGAATAAATTGATTGAACTATCGAAAAAAATATATGGATAAGTCCCATGCCATGGATTCAATCATTCAAGCAGCAATTCGCCGACTTCCTTAAAATCCTCCATCTTAGGGAAGTTTGATGATTGAAAGCTTCCACTGCTGTCAGTGAAATTGCCCATACACTTGTTCTCGAATGATGCTGAAAAAGATCTTCCATAACATGCGCGGCAATTTAGTCCGCGAGACTTTTGCGGCAAGTCATCATAACAAACATGCACGTCGTCCGTGCCTGTCATCCTTTCATCGGCATATCCTTCGCTAGAGACAAGGGTGGAAAAAAAGGGTGTATTTCTTGGCGAAGGCACTGGGAGATCGCATGGGCAGTGCCCATAGAATTGTTCGAAATCTGTCTTTGAGAGCGGTTGCATTGCTCTGTCTGAAACAGGAAAGGCCAGGAAGGAGGTAACTAGGAGGACTCTGGAGCTTTTGTTCTCTTTCTAGAGGAAGCAGGGGACAGGAATATGGAGCTGAGGAGATGCGTGTATGTTGAGGATGACGCAAGTTGATACCAACCTGCTGAGGATGTTGCGGGTTGATGTGGGAGGTGCAATCGAATCAGGAGATGTGAACCGTACAAAGTTTCAGTTTGTCAACGAAAAAGATTGATATCGCAGCAGACGGCGAAGTCCTCTGGGAGTCGAACTGTGATTTCTCTTCTTTTTGCGTTCTGCTTTCCCGCATGTGCATCTTTGCTCCTTGTTACGTCTCCTCAAGGGGTCATCCAAGCCCGCCTCCGATTTTGATGAAGTCCCGGAAGTTCGGCCGGGCCTTGCGGCACTCTAGGCCCGGAGTCACCTGTTGTCGCCGTTTGGCCTGTGCGACAGTGTCAGGGTCAAGCCTCCTGATTGTCCTCGTACTGATTTTTAACTTAACTTTGAGTAAAGTGCATAGTTGTGCAGGTCGTCGGCCACCCTGCCGAAGTAGTAGTAGTAGTTATGAGTCAAAACTTTCGAGACCTCTGGCCCCCAAAATGCTGCTTACAGCGAGAGTGGCAAGGAGTGTGGTGTCTTTGGGCATCATAATGGATTTGCTTAGCATGGTAGGATGCTTCTACCTGCATTCGCCACAAACATTGTTAGGAATCTGCTCTGTGACATCCAGAAGTTGTGTGCAGCCACCCTTTGGTCTCAAGACTGGCAAAATGACAACCCAAAAAGCGAACATGAGAAGGGCAAGATCGACGCTTTATCTAAGCACCCAAAGCGATCCACCTAATGAGCAACAGGTAGAACTAAATCGAAAGGAAAGAAGAAGATTGAACAGGAAAAATAGGAACAACCAAAGGAATAGGCTTACCGCTGATACACCAATAGGGCTTACCTCTATTGCACGCAAAAAATCCTTATCTCAAAATTTTCTTGTGGACGATGCAATCATCATGTCCTTGGTGAACTGTGTGGATGATCAGAGTCAAATGGGATGTTGTGTTGTAGAGTTGGGTCCGGGTCTAGGCTCTTTGACAAAGCATCTGCTTGAGCGATTTCCTCGCATGAAAGCTGTTGAGCTCGATGGCCAAGCTGTCAAGTCCCTTCAGGTGTCTTACCCCAATCTGGATATTACTGAGCAAAGTCTTTTGGATTTTGATTTCAAAAAACACTACGACGAGAAGGGAGAACGACTCACTGTCATCTCAAACGTTCCATTTGGAATATCAAGTTCCACCTTGTACAAGCTGTTGGAAAACTCGGCGTACATTAGACGATCAGTTCTGGTTTTACAGCAAGAAGTCATTGACAGGATAATGTCTGGCCAAACTCAAAGAAAATACGGCTCGCTTTCAATAGAGCATGTGATTCGTGCAGAAAACATTCGGCAAGAAATGACCATACCGCCTATGGCATTTGAACCCCCTCCAAGACAAACCAGAATAGGTGATTGTATTATCGTTCAAGGCTGCATGATTCATTCCTCTTCAAAGGTGTTGTCTCTATTGACTATCAAGAAGAGCTCCCGCTGGAAGAATCTGAGATGCGGTAAGATAATGCTGGGTATATCAAGAAGATCAAACACATGCAGGATTCTTCGCTTATGCCTCCAAGCTTCGTTCGAGAAGTAACATTAGTTTGAGATCTTTTTTTTCACAGTTTTATCAATACGTTTGATTTGAAAAAATAGGAAAGGGGTAACATTACGTGAGAGTTTGCCAAGGAGCAAGGAATTAAGAAAGGCAAGTTAATCCAAGAAATTACCTGAAACCTGATGATTTGGGCCAGGAGCTCCAAGGACTTGCAGAAATCTGTTTGAGTGACGCAAATTGGCTGGATAAAAAACCTGCCACCCTGTCTCCTGGAAAGTGGCTGCATATTGCAAGGTGAGTCACATGAGGGCCATTTCACTGTAAACGCCGGTAGGCTGTGAGCTTGTTTGCGATTCAAGTTGAAGAATTTCCCTGAGAAAGGAAGTATTTAACATTTTTCTTCTTCAGATCTATCTACTCCAGGTCCATGTCGTCGCTGAGTGAGACCGTCTGAGACCGTCGGACTCTGGGCTCGGATGTCCAACATGCGGGCCCGGGGGACTAGGATCACCCGGCGCTCAGCGGCTGACAGCCGGACTCTAATTAATGATACTTAGTACGGTCGGATGCATGTTGGAAGACGGGAAGCTGACTCGTCCACTTGTCGCTGTCACGAGTCAGTGCTGTCCCCCCGGCCCGAATAATCACTATTAAGTAACTGTAATCATGCGGCACCTCCGACTGACTGACATGTGACAGTCAGATCGGCGGTCGGACTCGCCGGACCCGGCAAGTTACGGTCACGGTGTGTTAAGTTAGTTCCCGCCACGGTACTAGTCACGGTTATTCAACGGTGGACCAGCACTGTCAGTTCCGGCGGCGGGCCTATAGTGAGGTGACCGTGCGGCCGCCGGGCCGCCCGGCGGCGGACTCGGTCACCGGGTCTTGCCCCTCGGAACTTCGGAACTTCGGAACTCGGAAACTCAGTAGGCGGCACGGGTAGTACCGGGTACATAGTACGCCGGGGGCCGTACGGTAGTACTATCAGTACTACTACCGTACGCCGGGTGTGGGTACCGTACAGCGCGGCCCTCCGAGGCTCGGAGTACCCGCCCTCGTCACAGTCGGGGAGTCCGATCACGACGGTACCCGGACCGTACTGGTTCGGAACCGTGGCCCACGGTTGAATGGCCAGTCCTGGCACTGTGTGAGCGGCCGCGCCGCGCCGCGGCCGGGGCACCGCCGCCGCCGGCCCGGCCCGGGCACTGCCCCGGCAGACTGGCCGCGGGCGCGGCCTCCGGGAGCCTTCACACGGCGGACGATCGCCGCGGGCCGGGGGGGACTCCTGAGACCGGCGTACTAGTAGCGTCGGCAGCGGCCGCGCATCCGGCCGGCGGCGGCCGCAGCCTGAGTGCGCCGGGCCGCGCGACTACTAGTCATGCATGCGGGAGCCGGGAACCGCTGGCCCGGCGGCGGCCCCCGGACTCAGTGCCAACGCCCCCGGGCCCGGCCCGGGCGGGCCGCGACGCCCGTGTGGCCCCGCTGAGTCTCCGACTCCCGCGCCGGGCCGGGCCCCCGGGCCCCCCGGCCGGGCCCCGGCGGGCCGCCCGGGGCCCGGCCCGGCAGTGCGGGGCGGCCGCCTCAGGCCGGCCGTCCGCCGGGCCCCGCCCCGAGGCCCGGGGCAGGCCCGTGGCCGCCAGTGCCACTGCCAGTGCCCGGGGCCTGGGCGGGGCCCGTCATGTGCCGCACCGTCACCGTGGCACTGCCAGGCCCCGGCGCCCGGCCGCCCGGCCCGGGCGGCCCCCGGCGGCGGGGCCCGCCGGGGCCCCCTGACCGTCACGCCGACGACGGTGGCCGCCCGGGCCGCCTGAGGCTCCGGGCCAGTCCCGTCACGGCCGGGCCTTCGGGCCGGCCCGCCAAGTTGCCAGGCCCGGCCCGCGAGGGCGCATGCGGCCCGTACCGTCCGTACGGTGCTGTCGGAGCCGGTGGCAGGGTGGCACCCTTTACGCAAAGTTACTGAGCCTTAAAAATCAGTACGAGGACAATCAGGAGAGTCGAGGGGCTTGACCCTGACACTGTCGCACAGGCCAAACGGCGGCGAGAAGAGAAAAGACAGCGAGAACCAACCCCACTGATCCTGCCAACTGCTGTCCCCGGGCCAAACTTAACTGTAACTGATACCTTCACTTAACTGCGCGCTGGACAATCCCCCCGCCGGCCCCGCGCCGCCATGCCAGCGATCATCGGATGTCGCGGTGGCCGCCCGGCGCCGCCGAAGGAATGAGACGCATGCCGGGATGCACCCGCGATGATGGCAGCGTAGGACACTGGGGAGGCCTTGAGCTGACGAAAGATCCTGGACCGGGTCATGCGTTTGCAAGTCGGATCACCTGAGACGTACGGTCTCAGTGCGCCGAGGCCGAGAGACCATCCGAGCCCAGCGCTGCCGTTTCCTTGTTCGCCGAGCGATCCGCCAGCCACCACAGAAAGCGCAACGCATCGTCCTGCCGCAAGGCTCAGAGGCCATCATTGCTGGCGATGATGGGAAGAAAGGCCTTTGGCGGGACGTGCTGACAGTGAGCATATGCATTACGATGCCCTCGGATCTTCCGCCGCAGTACGGTGCTGCCGCTTGCAGTTTGCTCCGAGCGAGGTCCGGTATTCCATCATTGTCAAAAGGTGGCACCAATCAATTTTCTAGTTGAGTCCCTGCATCGATGGGTCATCATGCTTTTACAGCTATCATCTGACCCTATCAATTGTTACGATGTTGTACCGCTCAATGATATGAGTAAACAATCAATGGTACATTGCATTGATTGAGTATTCATTCATAATGTCAGGTTATTACAGCCCCCGAGGATAAACAATAATAATACTCCTCCTCCGAGTCCCCGCATATCACCCCTGCATTTGCCAGTCTCACCTACCCCCATGACTCCCACCTCACCACCCACCTTCAAGACTTCCTTTGCGCTCGGACATACAAGAGGCTACTGTACCACACTAGGTTTACTCAAAATATCTACAACCCCTGCGGCACGAACCTGATCAAACCATGGTCACTACCCACCTTTTTCTCAGAGTTTGAACCGGTGTGATGACCACCTACCCGCCCGCCAGCGTGAAGCAAGCAACGTAGGCTTCTTTGCCATCCCCGCGACCCGGCATCGCAAGAATTTGTGAGAAAGAAGGGCAGTAAGCAGCATCGTGAGCCCTTTTCATCGGTAATATCTCTCCAGCATACCAGGTGAGAAACATAGCTCGGGGTATCATCATCCTTTCCTCCATCTACCCTTCCTGAAACACACGGCCTCTTTTTCGAGCTTGTTACTCCTGGTCCTACACAAGTAACACTGCAAAAAAATAGTTGTCTTACCATTCATAATATCATGAACAAAAAGAGTTTCTAATTTTGTACTGGTACAGGGAACAAAACTCTGTTGATATGACAACGAGCTTACCGATCTTGGTTTCAATCCTTCTCACCTCTCTGATATGCCAAATTTATTCCTTCACCCCGTCTCCAGTAGAGTGGAACTTGCAGTGTAGAAAACGGGCGAACCCCGATAATCGCTGTGTGAGGACATGCGCGCAAGTTTTACCACAAGAAGATAGATTGCATGTTGCAAATGGCGATCAATTGAATTCGGAGGTAGAGGAAAACGCGAACGAAGCTTCGAAGGACATTCAAGCATCGTCACAGATAATGAGGTGGCTTGGATCCCAATACACAACCAAGAAGACTACAAAGCAGTACCTTGAATCTATTCAGATGGACATCGAGTTGCAGGAAAGTAGAAAAAGAAGGCCTGACGATTTTGGAGATGAATTGGGTGAAGCAAGCGATGAGAGGCCAACCTTCAAGGTCGCGGGCCTTTCTAATCTCGAGTTGTCGAAGAGACAGCGGATCAAGATGGCACTCAGAAATGGAATTTCATACATTGCAAAATCTGCGGGATCAATTCTTAATTTCAGCAAATAGCTGATGGTTTTTGCTGGATGAAAGTTGTTAGATGCTGCCCTCGTTTTTGTATAGTAATACACATGACTCTTACATGATGTTCGTAACAAACCACAAATGTGGATGCATGATAATGAATTTCTTCAAGCTCATGAAAAGGGATTTCTGATTCAACAACGATTGCAAGGTATCCCTGAACGAACAGGCCACATCTTTGAGGGACGAGAGGCAGAAATTCTTTGTTGTAAACACGCAGCATCGCAATTCATCGCATCTTATCATTCCGTTACGATGTGTTCTAATATTTCGAAACCCGCAAAACATGGTACCCATTAACGATTTGATAATCTGGCGAAACGCAGGGTTTGAGTCGGGCTTCAGTCGTATATCAAATTATGTTATGTTAGGTTTACTAAGCCAGAAATCAAACACGTAACAAAATCACACTTCATCGCCTTGACATGTCTGACGTCGCAATACTTGCTGCCTAAGCTGTCAAGAAACTCTTCCCGGTCACCCGGTATGACCGGTAGCTGCACTTAGGCCGATCTCTGATTGCTGTAGTGGAGAGATAGCAAGAATGTTCTCCCATTCGTAGCGTGATTGCATCATCCGAAGCACCCTCAGGAACTCAAGCCGCAATCTACCAATACCGTAAGAGACTTTGAAACCGAGAATCGCACGCACCTCATACACCCTTCTGGTCTGACTGAATGCGCTACATTGTAGGAATCATCCAGCGGATCCACGATCAGAAGCCTATCCTGATTGGACGTCCTGCATTGTTGATATGCTTCATCTTCATCACCTTCCTTCTGCAAAAGCATCCAAAACTTTATCTGCTTTGATGTGTCGAATGTCTGCCACGTTGACAGTTAGAAATTAGTCAGAAAAAGCAATTTGAAGATACTTTATATAGGCGGAAGAAAAAAAGATAGAAAAGAGCCGAGACTGGCTGCATATTGCTTTTATCACTGCTGCTGAAAATAACATCTGGAATGTGTCAACCGGCGGGCTCACGTATGTGATGTATTCTCACCTCCTGCACCATGCAAAACAAGTGGAGGGAGAACGGGAGGAGAGCATGTTTGCAAAAAGTTGATCATCATTATAAAAAGACCAAATGTGCAGATTCCGCCAGTACGTGAGCTACAAAGGCCTCTTTGGACAGCCCACAGTTTGACAAGAAACAGCAAGTCAGCAATACGCTTGTCAAAGGCGAGGATAGATCGAAATATGGTCTTGTGTAGAATTGATGCCTGATTGCAAACGGAGAGGTCTCCATTCATCATGGTTGTCTTGTGCTTGAACAAAACTATGGGCACACGTGCTTTGAAAATTGGTATGGCTCGGAAATCACCCTCAGTGTTCAAAAGATCAGCGAGTTTTGAAAGTACGATAAGCGAATCATCTTGCGCCGACATATCGAGGTTGAGGACAACATCCAAATCACTTCCACGTGTTGCTATCCCGTATGAACTGGAGCCAACCAGGCTTAGAGAGCTGTTGGGGTACAATAGGTCACACAATGATCGTATCCGCGACTTGACCTCCTCACACTTCTTCTGTTCATCTTCTCCCTTTGAATACTTTGAAACAATCTCAGGTATTCTGAGGTCATATGCCTCAGAGAGCGTAGCATTTAGGTCCTTCTGCAGCAAGCAGGGTGCAAACTCTTGCTCAACGATCTCATTCAACCTGATCATTTGTGTCGCTGAAAATTTCTCAGGACAGAGAATTATATGCTCAAGAAGAAATCTGGACTCTCCACCAGAATTCTGGTAACTGGAGAATTGAAGTTTCATGGTTTGCAGAATCCGATTACACCGCTGATTCTGCTCAGTCTTGTCCGTGCAACGCTGAAGGGAAAGTATGTCACAAAGAGTGCGCTTGTAACGTTTGGAAACGTTTCCATGGTGGGTAAAATGCATTCTTGCCTTTGTTTTTGAACAAGAGTAGGATGCGGTACCCTGGATCAGAACAAGACAATCCAATGCTTTGGATATGAGAAGAAAGGCCACTGGACTTGCTTTTGCGCTAACAAAGTGCTGCTTGTAAGCTGACATGATCAGCTCAGAAGACAGCGGCAGTCAGACTCACACATCGAGAATATGAAAGGAAGTTATCCAGCAGCTGATCATCCTCCGTGGGTCCACGAGCAAGCATGACATGCCTGCAAGACTCCCGTCACCTGCGCTTCATTCCCCATCCATGCGACCAGTCGGGGCGTGGCCTCGTAAGTAATCACTCGGGCAAGCAAAAGGGTAGGAAGGGAGTTGCTGTCTTTTCTTTGTCTTATCGAATGCTCCTAGGCAGGCTTGAAGTCAATTTCAGATTAGGCGACATGCATGGAGGAAATCAAAACGACTTGAGGCGATGGTGAGAGCGGGCACAGGCCAGGCGGCTGATGGGCAGAGAGGATGGTTCTCGCTTCATCCTGTTCCTCTTACAACGGAAAGAGCGACGACACGCCTCGACGTCTGCTCGCAAGAACAATAACGACCTGAACAATAACTCTTAACCATTTGAAATCTTTTGGGAAGGGAGCGATGAGTGGCAAAGACCCTTTGTTTTCTGTTTGCTGCGTCATTTTCCTGATTCAGCTTGCGCGAGGGAATGTAGCGAACATATTCAACCCCACTAAGATCAGCTCGTTTGCTACTGTTGGCTTCCACCTAAAGCAGGACACAGCAATGCGCTTCTTGCGTGGACGAGTTGGGGCGTTTGGAGACTTCGACAGCGACATGTACACTGATATGATCTGGATCTCCCAGGACTCCTCAAAGATTCTTGTCTCGCGTTGGGATCCGAATGACAACAACTTCGAGAACCCAGGAAATCCTACCTCGCTGCAAGCGATTATTACGTTACCTGCAAATGTTACGGACAAGGCCATCAATATCATTCCAGCTGACTTCAATTATGATGGTAAACTTGACTTGCTTGTCACAGCAACAGACTCGCTGTCTGGTGAGAGCATTCTACTTCTCTATTTTGGCAACAACCGACATTTCACAAGTAAACCACTCAGGCTTGCCTCTTCTTTTGGACAAACGTTAGTGCTCGAGGCTAATGGAGATATGAAGCCAGACTTGTTTGGCGAGCAGTACCTTGTAGGAGGAGATGGCAAGGAGTACGTTGCCAGAGGCTTCTGGCTGAATACACTAAGTTCGTGGCCAGACACATGCCTCAACGGCATCCAGGATGGCGAGGAAGAAGAGATTGACTGCGGTGGTCCTTGCTTGCCATGCCCCTGTCTAGGCTTTGCGTCGCTTGAGTTGTGTGGCTTCAATTTACATACATCAAGAGATATGACAGACAGTGCTTTATGGCCTCTGTCACGGACAAGAGCGCACTCATTCGCAGACATCAATGGTGATTGTCTCGCTGATCTGATCCTGGCCAGTGAGAAAGATTTATCGAGCATGTATGAGGTGTGGATCAACCGAGGGCCCAATGGAACTATCCCAAACTTTCTTCCACCGGACCAGGACCTTATGCTCTCGCTTCCAAATGGAGCTGGTTCTGTAACAGTTGCAGACGTGAATCGAGATGGAAGCCTTGATCTCGTTTATGCTGCTGTGAAGGAGTGCAATTACAAGCTTGCTGACCGAACGTTACAGCAGCCTTCTTCTCCTTGCCTAGAAAGCCAACTGCTCGTTGCCTACAACAGTCGGACGGACAAAGATCGCCCATCGGGAGCGCTATGTAGTGGCGCAGCGAAAAACACCATAGGTGAAAAGAGCAGCACAGGACTTCGCGTAGGGACAGTGGTGATGTCAAATGCAGACTTTGCAGGGTCAAGACTGTTGCATAGCAACGAGATTCTCCCAAACAATGTTGCAGGAGGACAGGGATTCAGTGTGGTGGAAGACTTTGGAATGGATCCGATGATGGTCCGAGCTGGAGATTATGATCTCGACGGATACGTGGATTTGCTTCTCCCCCTGAGAGACAGAGATCAACAGAGCCGACTTGCGCTGCTAGTCAACACAGGAGGGGGAAAATCTTTCCATAGGAAAGTCTGCGCTTCAGGTTGCGATCTTTCTGATTTGAACAGCATCAAAGGAGTGTACGCGGGCTCGTTCTTCGACCTGAATGAGAAGGGGAACATGGACCTTGTCGTACTCCACGTCGACTCCTCCATGGACCTCAAAGTAAAAATCCTTCAGAGCAACTTCAACGACCAAGGAAACTTGTTCCTGAAGGCGCAAGGGCTCAATGGTGTATGCCCAGAGTGGTGCCCTCCTCCAACCCCTTTCCCCGACCCGAAACCTTTCGGAGTCAATCAGCATGGCGTTTCTTTCAAGTACATCATGCAGGTAAGCATCAGCAAGCGCTCTTCTTTGCTCTTCTGATCTCCAGCTTTAGGATCTCTCCAGTCGCAGGTTGACAGCACAAGCAGCCCAGCTACATCAGAGCAGCCACAACGCACTGAATCTGCCGTATAGCATGTTCGGGCTTGGGCCAGCCTCCTACTACATCGAGCAGTTCTATATGGGCGTGCCGATGTCTCTGCAGTGGGGCCTAGATAGGAGCTACATGAGTTGGATGGGTGTCATCCCCAACTCGCAGCTCGTTGTCTCGCCGACAGACAGAGCAAACGTCGACTACTGGTGGATCCAAGCGTATGGTGAGTGCGAATGGCATCAAGGGAGGCTGGATAACATTCTTTGCAGTTCACCCATCGGAAGGGATTGTGTATGTTGCTATCGTACTCGCCGTGACGCTTCTCGTGCTTGCAGCATCGATATGGTTCCTCGAACGACGAGAGAAATACCAAGATGAAATGGAAAAGAAGCTAACGGCACACGCATTCTTGTGATACTGATGAGAGAACTGGGAGGGAGAAAACATTTGTTTACTAATATACACGTCCATAACGTCAACAACATTATTGCATTCGAAACGATGAAACTCTATGAAGATCTTCCATAGGCGTAACCCCAAAACTTTCGGCATAGATCGCCTCTACAGGTGACCTTTGTGGGCGGTCGAATGAGTGGCCGTGCATCTTCCTCATCACCATCTGCAACCAAGTAAGAAGAAAGCACTACTATTGAGACAGTATTACATTCGCATAGTACCGCGAGCCACTTGTAGCCTGAGATCTTCTCTTGGATCGCCTCTCGTCATTGACTATGAAGCTTTGAGTCGCCAAGAATTGTTTAGGCGATGTGCTTCGCTTGTCAAGAAATGAGCGCGAGTGACTGCTGGAGGGATTGACGTTGTGAACGATATCAAGGTTCGAGCCCCAAAAGTCCTGGTTCAAAAGTCAACACAACAAAAACCATCAGCTTTCATTTCACCTTATCGAGCGCTACTGATGGAGCGACCATTGACTTGGATGAGGACTTTAACAAGTCAGAGCAATGCATCCAGCGCTCTTCTTCTTGTTGTACTAGTTTTGCCAAAAGCTCTGCCTCGTCTCCATCCAATTCGTTCTCGCGATTGGATGGCCCGGGATAGCTGTTTTGTCGCAAAATCTGCGGCCTTTCCCTTCCCGCAGGTCCGGCATTCATCCCGTATTGTGCAAGCGGGCTGACTTGATGACCCAGAGGTCCAGGATCAGATGAGATCCGGGCTTTGAATCTGGAATCACTAGAGCCTGAGCTTGACCTAGTGATCTCATTCTGACATTTCCTACTACCTCTTGTTGATTTTCGTTCCTTTGCGTTGCAAGCTTGAAGCATTGCACGAGCAGACATCGTCATGGTCACTAATCCAAATGCGATCAACGAAACATAAACAACTGTCTGAGGATTCGACGAGGCACGATTCAGGCGTGTGTCCGATAAAAACGAGTCCCGAGCTCGCTCCATGGAGTATGCGTTCTGACTGCTTGTGTTCAAGTGCTGAAGAACTAAGTTTGAGCCCTCGAACAATCACAGTGTATGCCTTGTCTTGTCTTTGATCTTGCACCCTTTGTGAACAGCTCTTACAGCCCTCTAGTCACCTCCATCGAGACAACTCTGGAAACCTAAGGACTGAAAGCTGCAATACTTGCGATGGATTGAAGACAGATACGATGATAAAGGAACCGAAGGCCAGACGAGTAGAGCTTGAGGAAGGAGTCGGACAACAACAGGAGACTGATGGGCGAGGAGAACTGCAAGAGGAATACAGTACCCGCCCTCTGAGAAAAGGAACACAACAATGAAGAGATCAACTTGGTCGAAGAGGACACGAGGAGGAATTGATACGCACGGGAGATCTCGATAAAGATACCTTGAACCCTGCAAGTTTGAGCCTGGGGATTTCCGGCTTGGGACTTTTAAAAATCAGTTATTGCAAGATTGAGGCTGGATACGGTAGGGGGTAGGGTAGTCCTTGTACCGGTTTTTTTCCCGATAAAACAGGACCCCATTTGCAACCAATTCGCAGCACAGAAGGGTGTAACGGTACCGTGATATTTAAATATATTTATCAAAGCTGGTACTATACGACCTCCACAGAACGGCAGAAGCGGGAAAGGTCTTGAAGAAGCTTAGTTTGGTCATATCTAAATGCTCCCGTGGTCACCTGCTGACCTCTTTCTCGGAAGGGGTCGCTGACAGCCACACGAAACTTTAACGTGTTTCAGGAGTTCATAGTTGAATATTCCAACTTAGAGGAATTGATCTCCCGAAATTCGAAATCCTTTGCCCGTAGATCGACAAAGTCAATTCAATGTTCAATTGCAAATTTGATTTTGCAAACTTTGAACAACATTAGCAGGGGAAAGTACTCGAATGGTTGCGGAAACATCCGCATGCCCACCGAGAGAAGGGCGGGGACTGTCAAACCACCGGTTGTTTCGACCGAATTTGGAGGGATGATTCTAGGTACTATCGGTTATTTCCGCTGCTTGCTAGACTGTGATTTTACTACTGGAACTTGGTTGACACAAGCACTCACAGTGATCATGGCATGCGTGCAACAAGCGATGGATCCGCTTGCTATTAGCACCATGCAACAGAACTTCGACGATCTCTTTTCTTTTGACATTGACATAGTCGAAGAAAAGATTGACACCATTCTAGGGAGTGATTGGATACAATCAGTACCTGTCCGAAACAAAGATTCAAGCTGCAAAGCAGAACTCGAGGATGAAAAAGAAGAATATCTCAAGTTGTTTGGTATTCAGAAGGACCTAGACAGCTACTTGGCCCAAGAAATTTCTGGCAGGAACCATCAGTCTGAAGAAAGCGAAAAGCTTTCAAAATATCTGAACATTTGGTAGCATTTTGATTATTCTTCCCAAGTCCGTGTTTTCTGAGAGTGGTTCTCTAAATCCTTTTTGTAAAACGCATCCAATTGATTAAAAATCTTCAAAGCATCTATGCATGGAAATGCTTGTGTTTGTTTCAATCTGATGAAGTTCCCTGCTGAGATTCACTGGGATACTCAGGAATGTTTGTCTCATGCTATCTTAATGAAAAATCATCCTTGTTGGAAATGTGGCCGACAAACACCGAAACCATCGAAAAGCGGGCAGAGCGGACCATAGCCCTGATGCGATCTGAACATTCCATGCACATCAAGAAGTACTCGAACCCCTGTGGGTGCAAAGCACCCAAGTCTTCATATGCTGCATCGGGAAATTGCTGGAAAAATCAATTCAACAAGCAACCTGAAGAAACAATAAGTGACCCCAAACAAGCTTGGCTCAAACTAAACTTGCTGTCCAGGTGCTGAGGATGACAATTCTAGAGTCTGGTCATGATTCCACATCGTGACTGTGAATGGCTGACTTTCTGTTCGACTGGTGGATAGTATGACTGTGCGAAACCTTATCACGGGCACAACTTGGCAAATACCGTGGGGCCGTAAGAAGTTCACCTTGCTATGACTCTGCCTCCTTACTTCAACTTAGGTAGAGGAGGCTTAACCCTAACACACAGGCCATACGGCTTGAAGAGAAACGAGGGTGAGAACCAACCCTTACCCTGGACCTTTCCCCCCGCGCCATGCCGGCGATGTCGCTCAGTGGCCGCCGCCGAAGGAATAAGACGCATACCGGAACGCACCCCGGGCCCGCGACGATGGCAGCGAAAGACAGGAAGGCCTTGAGCTGATGAAAGATCCTGGACCGGATGCATTTACAAGTCGGATCACCTGAGACGTCTTGCGAGGCCGAGAGACCATCCAGTGCTGCCGTTACCTTGTTCGACAGTCGCCGTGCGATCTGCCAGCCACCACAGCCTGCAGCGCAACACACAGAGTCATCCTGCAAGAGTCCATCAGTGCTGGCGATGATGGGAAGAAAGGCTTTTGGCGGGATGCGCTGAGCATATGCATCACGATGCCCTGCGACTCGGATTTTCCTCTGTGCTGTAATGCTGCTGTTTGCAGTTCGCTCCCAGCCAGGTTTCGGACATTTCCCGATTATACCAGCCAGTTTGCTCCGAGCCAGGTTTCGGGCATTTTCCACCTATGCCGGTCAGTTTGCTCCGAGCGTTGTTAAAAACTGTGACACGTGGCATGCTGCCATGTTACATGCTACCAAGTCCAGGATCAATCCCTGCCCATCTGCCTCCAGTAGCCGGCCAGGGGCTGCAGTTGCGGAAGTTCAAACATCCCCTACGTGATGAACATCAGGGCCATGTTGGGGCAAACATTCTTCCTGGTGCCGAGAACGCCTTGCACATGGACGCGGTATCTCCCCCCTGAATCTTTCATGGGGGTACTGAGGACGGCATTGTACTTTTAATGCGCATCAGTCCATAACGGGTTGCGGTGCTTGCGGGTTGCCATGTGTGTCGGGTCCTGCCAGGATGACGGAGAAATCATCCGACGGGTGGCAGTTATGCAGTGCAGCAAGAGGTCAATCGGCAGTCCATGAAGAACTGGTTGCCAGTAGCAGCCACCAAGCTCATGGCTCCCGGAAGTGCTGCCCACTGCCAGAAAGAATCCTAAGGTTTGGAGGAAGCTTCCATATCTGAGTGCCAGATCGTGTGCGCAGGGGGAAAATGACTCAGTGAGACAGAAGTTCATTGAACCGGGTGGCCTGGTACTCGGCGAAGTCACAGTGGAGTCTGACAGTAGAGAAAGGGGAACTGCAGGAGGGATTGAGCCGTGAGCACCCGCTGGGCTGGGATGAACTTCCGTTGAAAGCAAACTGGCAGACGTCCCCAATAAATCAGGCGAGGGGATCATAGCTATGATCCTCTTCTTCCAGTCGTAGCGCAATGAAGCTCCGCCCCTGCTCCGCCTGCCGGCAGCGGACTCAAGAGCTTCAAGGAGCCAGTAGAGTGGCGGGGGTCACGTAAAACATTTGTATGGCGTGAGAAATTCCCTGTGACACCATTCATATATATATTAAATTGGAGTTACAACGATTTAAAAAGGATTTTTGCTTCAAATACTTGCATGAGATAGCTAAAATGTCGTGAAAATAGTAAAAAAGGTACAAATGCTCCCAACAAAATCGGTTTTAGTTGTATGGATTGTCCGTGCTATACAACGAGTGTTTTAAAAAAGAAGGATATGATATTGGGGCCAGGTGCATTTCGACCTCTTGGGTCGGCAATGGCGAGCGCACGAGGAGGGATAGAGTGGAGTCAAAAACGCCATAAAAACCAAGCGAAATGATGTGAGATGAAAAGAAACAGTGAATGGAATGAAATGAGATGAAAAGAAACAGTGATTGAAATGATATGAGATGAAAAGAAACAGTGAATGGTGTCATGTGCATTGACGTGTCGAGGAAAAGTAGAATAGAGAAGTAGCGAGTGCAATTTGATTGGATGTCTGACGATGTGTGTAAGATTCCTGAGTAGAACGAGACATACTGCTTTGTTTCAGCCATGAAGGATGTTTTTTTTTTGTCTGATTTCCAACTTAGATTTTTGATAATCTGCATAATGCACGTCCAAACCTCGACAAAGTGATTCAGACTAAGTCGGAATGGATACTGATTCCCTGCAAAGGTAAACTTGATTCGATTCTAGCGTGTGTGTCTCGCTTTTGTCAAACCTCCTGAATTTCATCCTCAACCTTGCAGAGCGTTCTTGAGTTATCGCTCACCAAACACGTCACCGAGGCACTATCGGATTCCAAGCTCACAAACCAAACAAGGAAACATGCCAGTGAGCGCCAGTGAACAAGAAGCTGCACAAGATCCCATTGACAGTGACGAGGAAAGCGACAAAATATACGCAGCAGCAGGCAACTCGCATCATACACATGAAGCCTTGTTTCTTGTACAAGAATCTCTTGGAAGCAAGTCAGGTATACGTGACCAAGACAGTCACGGGAGGGAAAGGAAAGAAGAGATACGAAGATCTCTTCCAGGTATGCATGCGCTAGAATCTATTGATAATGTTTTATGATTGCGATACTACAGGCCCAGTAAAGAACGACTCCGGCTATCAGGGAGTCATTGAAGTCAGGGACTCACACGTGTCTTTGCGGGGAATGCACTGTAAGAAAAAAGATGATTGCCATCGTAAATCTTGACGGACGGCGCAGTATTTTGCAGCATAAGTGGAGATGGAAGGCTCGAGATATTTTCCGCATTGAGTTACCGGTATATTCACTATACGTATTGAATCATTCGACTTGCTAAATCAGAAATAGAGATAAGATCTGCCCCGTTGGAGTCTTCGATCTCAACCAGACATTTGTATGTTGGCAGAGTTTGTCCTTGAACTTTCACTCAAATATGACTCGAATTTAAGGTTGGAGTGATTCAATCTATTCCAACTATGTTCACGTTAAGTACGTTCACCGTAACAAGGTTTGTTAAATCACTTCCTCGGTGCGCTTTTGATGGATAGCATGCCAGTGTCGAGGACATAGAGCGGAATGAAGGCGATGTGCTGTACTGCTTCAACGATGTGAGTTTAAACACGTGATATTTTCTAGTTATGACATGATGCAGTCTCCATCTGCATGTTTGGAGTGGGTCTTTGCCCTCACGGTGTGCGAAGAGTGCGAGTCTTTTGTTCAACTCGTAACACCAACGTTTCAGGAATACGGAGCAAAGACAAATTTTGCCTTAGAGGAAGTGGATGAAAGAGGTGAGATCATCTTTCCGAGATTTTTCTGGTCTCTTTTCTGAGGTGCCGATTTTTTTTTCCGTCAGATGAACTGAAAAGAAAGGCGAGGTATGATGCACAGTCCTTGCGTCTGAGATGATTGACTTGTTGGGGCAGGGGAGGTTGCAGACACAGTCAATCCAAGTCATTGTCACCACTCCCTCGTTTCAAGAGATTAAATCTTGGTAGCCTTGCCGACCTGATCTTAGGGTCTGACGATCGATTTGACGTTCAAATCACAGAAGACATCGTTGTGTCGCGAACCGAAAGTGACATGTCGGATGCGGTATGCTCTTTGTGTTCGCCTTGAGCCCTTGCTGACAGCTTTGGTGCGCACAGGGCACCGAAGAAAGCTTGTGGATACCTAGAAGCAAACTGGAAATAATGGATGGGAAAGCAAAAGAGCTGGAAGGACAGGTTGGAGTCCCTGGAGGCGGTTCCAAGGAAATTCCAGGTCTGAGGACTTGTCGAAATCGAAATTGTTAATTCTATGCGCAGTCATTGGTAGATCTCCCAGCTCTCCATGTTGCAGCACAAACAGACGATCCAGCTCGCCCATTGCTTTCTTGACAAGTTTATTCCAAGCATCGTAAAGATAAATGTTGAATCTATCACTGTTCTAAAATCCATCCTTTCCATACCCCAACTCTTCGTTGTGGAAGAAGTAGACGATGGCGATCAAGCTTGTGAAAAGTACTGTGCAGAACGCAATCACCTTTCCATATTGATACCAGAAATTGTCCTCATGCCACAAGTGCGAAAAGTAACCCAAGCCCATGACCATGCCCGCTACAAATCCTCCCATGTGCGCAGACATGTCAACACCAACAGAGAAGGAAAAGACAAAGATAAAGATGAAAGAAAGCGAAAGTGAGAGAATCAACATCTTCTTCTGCAGATCTCCCAGCTGCCTCCACATACCAGTGATGTATGCCACTTGTGCTCCAAACAAGCCGAAGATAGCACCAGAGCATCCAATGGACAGCGCCTGCGGAGCAAACAGCACGGACAAGATATTTCCGTAAATTCCTGCGCAAACGTAGATAATTGCAATCTGAGCTGCTCCCCACTCACGCTCAAGCTGAATTCCGAACATGCACTGCGTGAAAGCGTTGATGAGCAAGTGGAAAAGGCCAGCATGTAGCATTATTGGCGTGATAAGGCGCCAATACTCTCCAGCAGCAATCAGAGGAGCAACTTTCCCTCCCATCACTGCCAAGACAGGGCTGGGGACATCAAGGATAGCTGACCAGCTGTTGCTGAGCGCCACTTCGATTACGAAGACAAGTACTTGTAACATGGTGATAATTCCGATGAAAGTCTGTAGCTGCGATAGGTACCATTTCTGACGATTCTCCGAGCATGGGTTCCCGAGGCAGCAAGGACAACACATAGCCATCGGTAGCTGCCAGGGAGATAGCGATGAAACGGGAACGGTTTCACCACATGCATCTATAAACACTTCACTGGCGCCCACACCGCCCATGCTGTACTGGTCAGGGATGGGAGTATACCCCCCTGCCGTGGTGTAGTTTCCACCAGCAGCCCCCATTCCACCACCTCCTGCTCCTGCTCCTCCTGCCCATGGGTTTGGCGTGGGGCTGACGAAACTGGCTTGCCCAGTACCACCAGTTGCTTCCCGCTCTTTGCGGATATCATCCATAGTTCGAATAGGCATCTTCCCTTGCTAACACTGTAGACGAAGAGAACTCACAACAAGACGCTCGCTGTCATCTGTCGCAGCATGTCAGCCACTACTGCACATCGGCGCTTCGAAGAGACGCCTCGTCCTCACCTGCCTCCTCCTACTGCTCTCTGGTGCTGCTTCCTGCTCCGCAAATAACGAAGAGTCAAATATTTGGGGTAAAAGGTCTGGAGGCTAAGGGTCCTTACTATACCAATCTGCATTAGAAGATCATTTAAGAAATGTGGTATGAGCGAGCGATGCAAGGGTGATCAATACACTCGAGCCGAAGGAATGCGCTGCCGCCACTTCTACTCTATTGGCTCAAGCTCGCCTCACCAGGTTCAGGCTAATCATATTATGAGCCTCAGGTGGGTCCCTGCATTTCCGCATGGGGTCAGGGCTCAGAGGGGGTACATAGCAGGGAAGGAATCGGTAGTAGTGGAGTCCTAGGAACTCCTAGAACGCTAGAAAGAGGATCGTCGTGACCTAAAGGTACACGTAGTGGTCAGACTTTTGGAGAACGTCGGGGTGGGTGGGTAGTGGAGGGGAGGTGGGTGGTTGGAATGGTGGGGTGCCCAATAGGTTTCTAGTTGTGCTGGGGTAGGGTAATATAGAACAAGCAAGGTATGGCCTGAGATCGAGGGGGTAGTGGTGATAGGTTGTGGGGGTAGGGTGAAAGTGAAAGGGGACTTCAAGCAAGGCATGGCAGACCGTCGTTTGAAGGGGAACGAGGTAAGGAGGGAAGGGAAATGGTGGCAGACGTTGAGAGCCCAAGAGCTCTGAAGAGATAGTGACAAGTTAAAGATGCTAGATATAGATGCTAGAGATAGTTAAAGATGCTAGATCCATGACTTCGCGATGAAGTAAGAGGAATCCCCTACATCGTGACTCGCGAGGGTGTGATCCTGTCTTGACGGGTCCAGACATTCTGTTTAGAAAGAGCTCAGACAATAGACAGACACACATTTCGGATCTGATGTTATCTTCTGATTTTATGGAAGATCGAGTTGTGAATGCAATCAACAACGTCTTGACGAGTAATGGCAGGTTGTCCTCGAGGGGTATGTATATGACCTCGACGCCTTTTCAAAGGTTCATCCAGGAGGAGCCGGTGAGCGTTGATGTGTTTCTCTGTTCAACAAGCTGATGTTGCGATTGATCATATGAAAGATGCGCTGAGAGTATTCGGAGGGAGTGATGCCACAACGCACTACTACATGCTCCACCCGCACAAGGAGATTAGAGTCAAAGGTGACTGAAGCAGATTGACAACCTCTCCGGCTGACATCCATGCCAGCTCTTGAGCCCTTCCGGCTCCGCAAAGCGGAAGCTCCTGTGCATGACCTATGTTGTGAACGCGTGATGCCTGACACGATCGAGCAGAAGGGAAGTGGATCTGCTCACGGAGATTTGGTTTTCAAGCTCAACACCCCCGCGTTCCAGGACCTGAAGGTGCCTTTGTTGACGCATGCCTCCTGTTTCTGTGTACGTACACGCATGCGCTATCTTGACCCTTCCGACAGTCGAGGGTACAGAAAGCTATTCCTTACCAGTTTGCAACCAGCGAGTGGTACGTCAAGGTAAGGCGGGGGACAAGGAGCGGACTATTGTTGTTGACTTCACTGCAGGCGTGTTTGATCATGATCCTCAACGTCTCCATGGAATACTTGATTGTTCGCGATGGCCCGTCACTGCTCAAGGCTTCAGGTAAGATCCGCATGTTGACGAGCATCTCTCAAACGATCGCAGTCTTAGGGCTCAGTATGGCCTTGATCGGACTTTGCATTCAGGTATGCTAACACCACAGAAAGGTGTAGAATGCAGGAAACAGCGGATAGGGATAAAGGTGGGGATGTTGATGCATGTATAGGAAACAAGAAAGGAACAGGAGAAGGAATACCAGACAAGAGGATGAGGTAGAGGAGAGCAAAGGTGACAAGGGTAGCAGCGGACCATAAGGCAAACAAGACGAGGAGAGAGGAGAAAGCTCCTTTGACCGGTTTGATTGTCTTAGCATGATGCCAACCACGGAGCTGTGTCCAAGAGTGGGTGGGTGAATCGATTCTGGGGATACACGCAGGTGAGTCTCAATCACTTGTTCTGATAGTCAAATCTCTTGTCTTCTGTTCTGATATTCGAATCTCTTGTCTTGTGTTCTGATATTCGAATCTCTTGCCTTCTGTTCTGATAGTCAAATCTCTTGTCTTCTGTTCTGATATTCGAATCTCTTGTCTATAGTCAACTCTCTTGCCTTTGAGTTGTTTTGTTGGATGTTCTGTCTTTCAGTGAGAATGGATTGTGTTTAACAATGCTTCTCTCAGGATTGGATCGGTGGAAGCTCCTTGCTATGGAGACATCATCATGTGTTGATGCATCATGCTGGTATACTTTCGTCTTATAGTTCCACTTGTCGCTACAGCTCCTCCTGCTCCGTCCTCTCCTCCTCCTGCTCGTCCTCTCCTTGTCCCCTCCTCCTGCTCCGTCCTCTCTTTGGTGCTGTGTGCATGGCTGTAGGAGGACTCACTGAAAGACAGATACCAACGTCAATGGCGACGATCCTGACATCACAGGTAGGGGGGGAAGCGAGCAGACGATGCTCGTCCTGTGCTTGTTCGGTTGCATGATCATGTCTGCAGGCGATCTTATCCGATTCAACAAGTTGACCAACTGGAAAGGGCACCATAAGTGGCAGGTAAACGAGATGTTCTCTTTCTATGCACTTCAAACATAAGTTTTCCTGGAATATCAGTTGTTGAAATTTGTCATCTCTGTATGATGAGACATAGTCCGATGATTTCTCGCAGGCTCTCTACACCTGGTTCCTACTTCCCCTTCTGCCCTTTCGTTGGCACTTCAGTGAGATTTTCGACCTCATCAACATGAAGGTCACACTTCCTTTTGTTTTCTTCTCCAAAACCTGACTTGGACGCGAGCAGCATCTCGATCGAAGCATTTCGCCGGTGACTCTTTGCTAGATCCTCCCCTCCCCTCTTTCTTGCCGATTCCTATCCTCAATCATCCTCCAATTCTCACTGCTTCCTTTCTTTCTTCTCCTCACCTGTTGCTCCTTCTTTCTCTCTCCCTGATTTTTCACTTTGATCTGCACTTGTCTGTGACTTGTTTGACCTCACCGCAGATGGCCCAAACGGACGCCAGGATCGCTCTATTCCTGAGGCAAATGCCGTGATTACTCATGTCCATCTTTGACGATCTTGAAGATTTTTCTTCATGCTTCGATTCTATGCGCTTCCTCTCTACTTCTATCCTTCTTTCTTCACCCTCTTCTGCCATTTCGTGTGTCTGGCGGTGAGAAGCTGCAATCTCTGTCATCGTGTCCCTTAAAGAGATGCTCCAGGTGGGTGGAAGTTACCTGGGTTTCAACTTCGTAATCTCTCACAACTTCGAGGGAGCTCGGTACGTCTTATCAGTGACATGTTTGATTTCTGTGTCTTCCCGTCTTTGTGCCGTTTCCCTGTTTCTACTCTCAAGGATTCTAAATCCTGTTTCTGACCCAACGGCCTTCACTTCCCTTTGACCTTGTAACCTGGGCTCAACTATGTCGTCATTAATCTTTGCTGTCTTGCCCTTCTTGTCTCTTCTTTCTCCTCGTCTTCAGTTTCCTTCCTCCTCCCTTTTCGTTGACTCCTGACATCTTGTAGATCTGTCCTTGATTCCACAGATCGCTCGAAGCACGAGAAACGTGACTGGTCGTTCGATCAGGTAAATCGTCTGCGTGCTCACCCGTTGTTCTTATCCTATCGATCGCATGTCCCTGTTCCACATGACTACCTTCCTCTAGGTCGAGACTTCATCTACAGTAGGAGGAAGAGTGCTCGGTGCGTATATTTTGACTCTGCTCTTCATCCTCTGCTCCACCCCCCTTACCTTGACTGCTCGCTGACCTGATTATCGACCAGGGTATCTCCACGGAGGTCTCAACTATCAGATCGAGCATCATCTCTTCCCCCGCATCTCCCACGTTCACTATCACAAGCTCGCTCCCGTTGTCCGACAGGTGAGCTAGGGAGAGGGATCAGAAGCAGGGAGAGGAGGGGAGAGGAATGGATCAGAAGGATAGAGAGGAGAGGAGGGCAGGGCAAACAACACGATGATGTATGGAGAGGGACAGGAAAGAGGGGATAACAAGAAGGAGGACGAAGGGAAGGGAGGGAAGGAGTGAAGGAGGAAAGAAATTTTCGAATCTCTGATGGGAAACACTTTCAGTGGTGCCTGGATCATGGCCTCAAGTACACATACTACCCGACTGTCTTCCACAACGTATCAACCTCTTCTGCCTAGCCTTCCCCGACCCGCTTCATCAGCGGCAACCTCTCTCCCTCTCTCCCTCTCTCCCTCTCTCCCTCTCTCCATTCTCCTTTGCTTGCCCCTGCTCTTCCTCTTGTTGTCTTGGCAGCATGAAGCCTTCTATGTTTATTCTGATCTCTCTGACAACAAGGACAGGTTCTTTCTACGTATCGCTACCTGAACGCTCTTGGCGAGCAGTCCCAGCAGGTCGGGTGATGGAGACATGAGAGCAAGAGAAAGCCAAGCAAAATACACCCGGCAGCTCTTCAGGCGCGCAAGGCAGAGGATCTTTTCTAGTCACTTCATCACTTAAACAATCATTCACATATCTACAGTTGAGACTATCAGCTTCTGCGAGCGTTACTCGTCTTCTTTGTCGCCCATCTCCTTCTCCTTCTCTTCCCCTCCTCCCTCCTTCTTCTTACAGTACCTAGCTATCGCCTTCCTGCTCTGGCAGTATCGCTCGAACACTTCAGTGCAGTACATGTAGCCATGCCTCCTCGCCTCGCGGTTCTTGAGTCCGTAGTCGAGACCGGAGCTGGCGGGAGCAGGAGCCTTGTTGAAGGGCTTGAAGCCGAAGCGGCGAAGCATCATGAAGAAGGCGCGGAAGTTGAACTTGTGAGGATCATCTTCGAACCACGTTTGCACTGCGAGCAAGAGGTAAGCAAGAGCAGCAGCAACACAGCAGCCTCACCATCGGTCCACCACTGGTCCACGTCCTTGACCTCCCATTCCTCCAGTCCGAGGGGGTTCCGCTGGTCGCACAGGTCCTGCTCCGTCTGCAGAGCGTTGAGAGCTTTAATGCGCACGACTCCCTTGTTCTGCTCCTCTTCCAAGAAATATCTGAAGGCCACAACCTGGTTGCCTTGCCCGGTGTTGCTCAAGCCGGGAGGCTTCTGCTTCTGCGACGCCTCCTTCATCCACTTGCTTCCTTGCTTCTCTCTTGCTCGCGCCATCTTCACAGCAAGCGACGTCTTATCATCACCGGACGGAGACGGCAGGTCTGACCTAGCAACAATCTCATGGTGAGCAGGAGCGCTCCCAAACGTAGTTTGTGCATGTTCCATGAAGGAGGCAGGGGCGCCCATGTAAGGATGGTTGCGTTGCTTGGCGCTTGACAAGTCGTAGACAGATCCCGTAAAGAAGGACTGGGGCGAAGGTTTGCTGCTGCTGTCCAGCAGAGCAGGGCTCACAGAATGGTAGGAGCTCATCGATTGCCAAACTTGCGGGGCGAACTGACCTGACTGTTGTAGCAGTGAGAGAAGACTCGATAGAGACGTATTGGCGTTGTTAGCCCCGTTCACCTCCAGCCCAAGGACTTGGGATTTCGATCCGACGCTCAAAAATCTATCTCTATCCCCTTGTGCTAGCTTCAAAGTGTTCGAAAGATGAAAACTAGGGCCAACATTCATAGGTGAAAAGGACAGGTTGCTTGATGACAAGGGGCTCTGCTGCAGCATGGAGGGAACAACATTGGTTGTGAGCATGATCGGCGCAGACGACGTGTTTTTCATGAGCTGCGTGCTCGTATACCCTTCGCTCTGCGAAGTGCTGAACGGCAAGCGTCTTGAGGTATTTTTTTGAAAATTCCAGCCTCCGTCCATCAGAGGAGGAACGTGGTCAAAAGAATTTGCAGAGAGTTGGTAGCGACTGAAGAGGAATGAAGAAGCTGGTTGAAGAAGGAGGAAGGACAGGGAGGAGAGGGAGGAGAGGGAGGAGAGGGAAGAGAGGGTCGACAGGAAGGAGAGGGAAGAGAGGGTCGACAGGAAGGAGAGGGAGGGAGGGAGAGGAAGGTGGAAAGAAGCGGTCTGGGGGAGAGATATGTAGGCTATGGGGGGGGGCGGAGTGCAAGGGCCAAAACGAGGAGCTGGGGTATAAGCAGTGGAGGAGATTTAAAACTAATTCTTAAGATGGGAGTTTATTATACTTGTATATCGCGGTGATGGCATATCTGTAGGACCCCCACCACCTCCTCAGTATTGAAGACATGAAGAACTGTCTGTAACCCCCCTAATAAAGCAATATGGGTACGTTTGAAGGAGCCTTTTGATAACCCCACCCCCCTTTTCCCTAACAATATATCCAAAAAGTTTCTTGACTACCTAACGAGGGGAATAAACCGGTACTCATCAATTCAGAGATGCGCGGCGATGACTTTACTACTGCAACCACAATGGTTAAAACCTTGAGATTTAGAAATAGATCGTTTGGACGCCTGTTCCTCTTTACCCCACTGTCAGCATGTCAATTCAAACAGTCGCAGTATCAAAGAGGTCAGCTCTTTTAGGTGCTTTCCCTGAATTTAAGGCACCAATGGCCTCCGTGCCCGTCATTTGCGAGCAAGAACTACCCCCAATGATATCGATACCCCAGTGTTTCCCTCAAGATACCCACCTTTTCCATATCACCTGTGACCTTTTGGACCTGCTTTAACACCTTGCACCGTATAGCTAGTGCTGACGCAGTAACGGGATACAGTCAGTCCAGAACCATCTTTTTGCAGGTACACAAATCGAAACGATAAGATTTTGTAAAATCTGCGGGATTGATCTTGAACCGTTGATATTTTCATTGGTATGCTAAGACCCTTCGGTGCAGCTCGCCTCAGAGGACGGGTTCACTGTGAACCCGGTGAAACTCCGAACCGAACGGGGGAGGCGACAGGAGGCCTGGCAGTTGAATCTCGAGATCGGGCCTGACCTCTTCGCCTCAGGACTGTTTTAGTTTAAAAGGCTACCGGGGCTGGTTTCAAGTTTCGTCCGATCAGTATCCGACCCGAGCCCGGCGTGGGCCGGCCAGCCGCGGCCGCCCGGGCCCGGGGGCCCGGTGATCATCGCCGCGGGGCCGGATTGAACTTCGGCAGCCGCGGCCCGCCGCTGAGGGTCGCCGTCAAGCCCAGGCTTGCCACCGTAGCCCGGGCTTCCGCCGGGCGGGGGCGACCGTGTGCCACTGTAACAGTGCCAGAAGCAGTCCGCAATCACGGTCCGACTCCGCGACGAGCCGGGCCGCCCGGCGGCCGCCCCGGCCCGGCCGCGACCGGCGGCCGGGCCGGGCTGGCCGCCGGCCGAGCGCCCTGGCTGCCGGCAGCCGCTCAGGGCCCGAGCTCAGCCAGTCACTGAGTGCAGTGCCGTCCGATCACCGTCACCGGTGACCGTGGCGCCCGGCCGTCGGACTGACTCAGTGACGCGGCCGCATCATCGGATGCGGCTCCGATCACTGCTGTCACGGCCACACTGTGACAGGCTAGTGCCGCGGCCGCCGGCGGCTGAGTGCCACCCGGTCCGAGCAGTGCCGTCACCGTGGTGTCGGAGCCCGGCCGCCGTCAGTGAGTGGCAGTGCCAGCCGGTTGAACACCGTGTCAGCCGAGTGAGCCTGAGTACGACGGTCGGCCCGCGGAGTCGGAGGTGCCCCCGGCCGCGGCGGGGCCGGGGGCCGCTGGGTCGGACCGTACTGCGAGCGTCACCGCCCGGACCGGGGGCGGCGGCAGGGCCGCCCCGCTGATTTGATTCGACTCAGTAGGACCCCGCAGCGGCACTCCGACTCGGAGGCTCGGAACTTCAACTGGCCCGCCACTGCCAAAGGCGAGTCAGCTGGTATCTAGCGGCCTAGTACTCACGGTACGGGCGGGGCGGCCCCCCCCCCCCCCGGGCCCCCTCCCGAGTCACCGGCGGCCAGTCGGCCGCGAGTGACGGTCGGATCGGACCGTCCGGCGGCGATCGGACCGTACTGCGGCCCGCCGGCCCCGCCGCCGCGCGGGAACCGTACTCACCGTCCAACGGTTAAAAACCGTTCCGGCAGTCAAGCGATGGCAAGTCATTTCCGATCATGGCAGTGCAGGCACCGTCGGACGGGGCGCTGCACAGTGACTGACGGCGTTGATGCCATGCTTGATCACTGATGATCAAAATGGCTGGTGAATATCATTCACGGTGGAGCGTCAATGAGCTAGTTGGACAACATGTCCGATCTCACAATCTTCAAGTGCTGAAACCAAGAGCACAAGGATGAGACGAACTTTCGGTCAGATCATGTTGCAGCAATGAGTCTTTCCAAGTTCAGTCCGTTGGTAGGATGGGACGAGCATGGCAGTGGCAGCATTGGAACAAGTGTAGTGAGGAAGATGGGGGGGGAACGAATAAACAGGCAGCAGGAAGCAAAGGACGCCTTCGCCACACCACAAAGTCAGCTCTTTGTTAGAAATCACTCTTTTGGATTTCTAGATGACTGTCGTTTCTGCACGTGTGAAATAGTGCGGCTGCTTGTGAGAATTGAGACTTGACTGGGTTGGGATTATTGAAGTTTGTCTTGTATCTAAAGGTGGAAGGAAAATCCAAGTCAGAGATAATACAGGACGGCTACAAGTAATGTACCACTCAATTCAATTTCTCACTTTAGACCCCGATACTGATGTTATGTAAGTTGTTCATTCTGCGGAGAATCATTCGTTGCATCAGCAACGTACAAAGTTTGCAGGTGACATCTGAACGAGGTTGCACTGACTGGAATTAGATGACGGTTACTTTCTCACACAGCAAATGTCTCTCTGACAAGGAAATCTCGCATGTGCGGAATCTACTTGAAGATAGAGATGATGCAGAGGTTACTTTGTTGGTTGCTGAGAAGCTGAAGCAGTTTTGAGTTTTGAGCTTACGATTGCGTTTGCTATTGACAGAGACAAGTCAAGGTCAAACCTCGAGCAGGAAGCAAGACAGATGTCGAGTGCGAGACTGCTTGCCTGTGATGCATCTTCTTAACGATCATATTGGTTCGGCCAGCATTCTCTCTCTGATCATCGACACAACCGTCCACGGAGCACGCAACGTCAGTTGACATTCTGCTTGATCTCCGTGCTTTACCTGCGTCATGAACGCTCAGGATGTTTCATTGAACTCAACCCTATCAAGATCCTCATCTGCGAAGCATCCGAATCCCATGGTAAAGGACCTGTTTACCTGAGCCAATGATGTGACCTGATCAGCTGCATTGGGGAAACAGGAGAAGATTGTCGGCGTCATTCGAAACCTTCCTTGCCTTGTCTCCATGCAACAAGAGCAAGCAGAGAACCTCGCAAGACATGTTCGGGTCAAAAGGTTGTCAAGGCATGCACCGAGTGTAACGTCCAAGTAACGTTGATGATACTGAAGGTACGGTACAGGAGAGGTTTTGATCAAAGAAGGAAGCATCTCAAACTACATCTCGGTGACCAACTGGCCTCGCAAAGGTCGCTCTGACAGACCAGCAGGTGGTGATCAGAGGTCAGGTTGATGTTTACCATGAATCGTCATGGATCATCAGACTTGGAGTGAACAAGGTTGAGATGAGAAGTGCGGGGGAAGGGATAAACAGCCTGACTATTCGCCTCCAGGTTTTGAACGAGTGGAGTTCACTCCTCGACTCTCCTTCTCTTGCTTCCTTTCAAGCCGGTTGCAAACCTCTTGCACTCTCCTCTATCGTCGCTCTTTTTCCTTGTGCTGTTTGCTACCCCTGCGCTCTCTCTATTCGTACCACTCCTTACTCCCCATTTCGAACATGGCCTTGACTCTTCTTCCCTCCTCTCTGTTGCCTGCCCCAGCGGCGGATCTGCAGGTTATGGAGATTCCCATCGAGCAGATGGTATCCTGCATTTCCTCAATGAGGTTCGGGGCACCCGAGGCTGCGGAAATTTGTCCTCACTTTTTGTCAGATCAGCGCGGCAAGGAAAGGATGCGGCGGCAGCAAAGCCCGGCTCGGCGATTTCATTGAGGCCGCCGACAAGTGCAACGGGAGGAAATGTGCTGGGCCCGTCCTACCGCCATGTCAAATGCGGAAGAGGAGATGGCGTGATCATAACAAGTTCGCTCTCTGCTGGCAGAGAGCACAGGATGCGCGCAAGCATCAACGTCCCCACGTCCAGCATCCAACTTACACCCCGGCGAGCGAGGACAGCAGCGAGCGCCGAGAGGGAGAGCTTCGTGCAGCAGTGGACCTTGGGGCACGATAACGCCGACAGAGACTCTCTACTCCCTCCTGCTCCCCCACTCTCCAACGATGTTCTCTCTGCCCAGAGCTGCACGCACAGGAAGTACCTTTTCGTACGCGATACTGCCACCGCAGGAACCGACGATCCTCAACTGACTAGTCGTAGCCTGCTCGTGGTACGGAGGAAGAACTCCTTGCTCGGCTCTGGAATCGTCCCAAGGAACCCCCTCTTCCTGATGGAGATCGGCAGGCACATGGAGGAGGATGGGACATCAGCTCGAGCTGGCTCCTTCCCCACCTTCACGGCGATAGTCTGCCTCCGACCCAGCTCCAGCGCACGTCAGGGCTGAGGGAGAAGAGAAGGCGCACTGGGGATCCGCTCTGCCATCCAAAGTTTTCCCGCTGACGTACAGGAGCCCAGGGCCCAAAGACAAGGGCAGGAGACGCCTGAGAGCGGCAGATGAGGTAAGAACTTGAACACGCGGCAACCTCCTGGCCCCTTCCTCGTCTCCTCCTCAGCCACCTCACCGTTTTCTCTCTCTGTCCAGTGTCTCTGTATCCCGCTGTCCAGTGCCACTCCCGTCCCTTTGCCTTACTTCCGAGCAGCCTGCCGTTCTCGGGCCCTTACGATGATCTCGATCTTGCTCCTCGAGTCGTACAAGCTAAGTAGTACGGTAGCTGCGCGTGACTAATGTATCCTCTGCCCGGGTGACTGTCAAGTCTCCCCGGCGTCCCGAGTCACTGTGAGGCTCCGTCGGCTGAGCCGCGGCGCGGCGGGCCTCAATGCCAGGCTCAGTGTTCAACTTCTGGCGGCCCATGGTCCGGCTCTCCGCCGCCGAAAGCCGACTCGGCCGCCGCCGCCGCCGCCGGGTACCGACTCGGACCGGACAGTGCCACCGTGGCACGACGGTGGCGTGGCTCGCGGCGGCCCGGCGCCTGGCACACTCCCGCTCGGACCCACCGGGCCGGTCACCCGCCGGATCGGCGGACCCCGGGCCCGGCGTGACCGTCGCCGCCGGGCCGCCGGGGGGCCCGGCGCCGGCCCAGCCCGGGCACCGTCCTGGGGCTGAGGCCGCGCCCCCCGGGAGGCTCGGACTCAACTTGTACGGTACGCCGTGACCGTACCGGCGCCGGGTCAGCGCCGGGCCCCGGTCCGAAGTTCCGACTGAGTCCCACGGCGCGAGTCCCTCCCGGCGCTCGGAGTCCGGCTGGCCCGGCTCACGGCTGAACTAGTGACTTTCAACTTCCGCCTTGCCGGAGGCTGAACTTGACCCGGCCGGGCGGCGCGTCCGAGTCGGAACCGTGCCACGGTGGCCGCACCGTAAGTGAGTAGCCCGGCTAGTACTACTGAGGCTGCCAGGGACTCGCCGGACTGAGCGGGCGGCGGGCCATGGCGAGTTCAACCGGCTGCCTGCACGGTCGCGCCGCAGCCCGGGCCGGGCCGGGCGGGAGGGCCGCCCGGCTGTGTGGCTCGGCCGGGCCGTGCGGCGGGCCGCGGGCGCCGCGGCCGGGCGGGACCCGGCCGGGCCGGGAGTTGATCCGAAGTTGATCACTAAGGTTTTACAGTGAGATTCAAAAAAAAAGGCGTGGAAGGAAAACGTTCCACAAGGAGAGGATAGACAGGAGAGGACGATGGATTGCGAAGTGAGACCGCAGTGACATCATGAAGCAAAAAAGAGCAGGAAACTCACAAGAGCACATCTCATCCCACTGACAACAAGCGTCTTGTGGAGTATGGGGCAGCTGTTCTCAACTAGCAGGAAGGTTGTCCTGCTGCACGGCCAAACCCAAGTCACTTACCCCGTCCCTTCCAACAACACTGACCTCTACGATCTGCATGCAGATCTTTGCCGCAAATTTAAGTTGGAGACAAGTGCGATCATTTCTGGGTTCATAGTCGATCACGAGAATGGCGGACCAGTGTGCCCTATAAGGCTCATTGCGGCACTGAAGGGAGGGGAGAGATGTCGGCTAGTGGTTTTGCAGCATGCTGTTGAAGACTTGTTGCAGCTTCCTGTCCCTCCTGCTCGCCTTGATAGGGACCAGATCTTGAACCTCATGGTGAGCTGGAAGATGCTCAAGGAAGGAACGGCAGAACAGAGGATGTTTTCCTTCGAAAAGTTATGCTCAGCGCTGTCCGACAAGGGATTTGCATACATTGCAGTGCAAGCAGGACAGTCAGAAATTGTGAGAAACGCAGTCAAGGCCGCGAAAGACTTCTTTGCAGATCCTTTAGAATCGAAAGTCAGAAACAAAGTCAGTTTCCCTCGATCAAAGTTTGTCGGATACTCCAAGCAAGGCAAACGGGAGTTCTTTCAAGTGCGCAAAGTTGGAAGCCATTACCGGTTTCCCTGGCCAGAAGACGAGCAGGGTACCTCCGATTTCGCCTCTGCCATTCGCGTACTTTATGAGGAGCTGTCGCAATGCTCAAGATACCTTCTCGAGAACCTGTAAGCCATTGCGCAGTTTCATGCATGTTGTTACTTACAGCTCATTTCTTGAGATGTCCACTCTTGCAACTAGACGCGAATGAGATCAGACAGATGCTTGATAGTCAGGACGATGGCCATCTCGAGAATGAGAGGTGAAGGCAACATGGTGGTCAACCTTCCGATGATGAGACAGCACGCAGGAATGACAAGTCAGACGACGTTGCAGCTTCTGACTTCTTCGTGGGTAGTGATGTGCTCCGCTTGTATCAGTATCACCGGCCCTTAGGAGAAGCACCTCCGGGTATAGCCAACGCGGCTACAGGTGTGCATGCTCCCAGGAAGGTGCCACCTGCTCCTCCTCAACTGATCGCAGGAATTCATGCCGACATGGGCCTGCTCACAGTTGCTCCCTGCGCCAACTTGCCAGGAACCGATCGCGCGATCCTCATGCCCCGTCTCTGAATGTCTGTGCAGGGCTCGTGATGCTGTCTCCGGATGCGTGCAGGTGGTTGGACGTGGAGGCCTCGCTGTATGCAGTGATGGACGACGACAAGCTGGAGTCCCTGACGATGGAGGAGCATCCAAGAGAAGAGCTCTCACTACCACACTGCGACTTGCATGTTGAGAGCAGCGGCGGTAAGTCGTGACGATTGCTGGTTCCAGCCTTTCTCACAGCTTCCTTGTCCTGCTCTCAGCTCCAGGAGACCTGAAGGAGCTCGAACACAAGTTCTTTGTTGTGTTTGCAGGAGAGACTCTGGGTAACCTCTCACGCGGAAAGATCAGGGCTCCACTGCACTACGTGGACGAATATGTGGGATTATGAGATGTCTTGCTGAGTCACAGACTGGATTGACGTCATGGTAGGTGATAGGACGACCAAGAATCTCTATGCCCTTCTTCACCAGAGCTCGTCCAGATTCAAAGATCAGAAGGATTCAACACAGCAGGTGAAGAACCTTTGGAGTGTATTTCAGTGTGATCATGACTTGAGTTCAGTCATTGCAATGAGGTCTCGGTCGCGAGCTTCATGGAGGACGTTGTCCTTACCTCCAGGCCCTGGATTAAACCTCGTCCTCCACCAAATTTTGTTGTTGGTGAATCTTTTTGATCTCTTTCCCCGCAGATTGAGAGATTTTCTTGCAGATTTTATCCGAAAGCGGCAAGGGAAGCAGGATCACGTGCGGACATCGTTTAAGAGTGACTATTAAATGAAGGTTTCTATGTCATTGGATCTGGCTTGGGTGTTTCACTTACAAAAACACCATCCTGATCTGAGATTCGCCTTCTTACTTACAAGGGATCATTATTATTGACTCAAAAATTACACTTAGCAACTTCTCCCCAGCGATACAGGATTTATCTACAAATTCTCTCCACATGTATCAACGCTTCGTCAATCAACTGTGCAGAGCTAAAAGTAAGATAAGAACATATTTGAAAATCCTGTCCGCAACTGTCCTTCAGGTCTTTTAGCTCTTCTTGTACATGAAATCGCTTCCCGGGCATTCTTTGACAACAACCTCGCTCTGACTTGCTTTCTGCCGGGGTCGAGCAACTGCCCACCATGAGCTCCTTCCTGGAGTTCACGTCCACAACCCTCAAGTCCCTTGTTGGAAGCTGGACCCGTGTTCTAGAGTAGGGCCATTTTTGAATGCCGAGACGGCGGCAAGCTTTTTTCATTGCCGTGATTGAAATTCCCTGCGCATCTCGGTTATGGGCAGAGACAAGAAGCGCACGCTCTGACGACACTCACCAAAAACTCAGAAGCCTCTTTCTCTTTCATGCAAAAAAGCTCTTGCAGATCTTGTTTCGTTAGATCTTGTGTCTTCCCGCATCTGTACTTGTGACAAGGATTTTCTCTCGTGGACGCGTCCAGGTAAGCCATGCTTGACATGTTGACTTTTCCTTCCCTCCCCCCACGAAAAGTGTCTGCAAGAAAACACGAGATCGTTAGAAAACAATGGTAGGCATGCGTCGAGCATTAAAAGAATCGGTCTTCTATCATCAACTACTTCACGAACCAAGAAAAGATCAAAAGAAATAAGTGAAAAGCAAATTAAGGCGATAAGGTCATCCCAAAATCATGCAATGCCATCAAGTGTTGTGGGGACACGCCCAGTTGTTGGTTCCCCACATTTTCTGCCATGGATAGGAAATCGATTTGCGATGGGCAATAACAGATCTTTCCATCGTCTTGGGAGAGAAGAGGGGGGGGGGGGGGGGGCTAAACGCTCTTTCATCCTTCCATCCTTCTGTTGTTCCTACCCATACCAACTCAACAACATTGTGATTGTGTGTTCTTAACGTATCATGTTCTTCTCACTTGCTCTGGATCCTTCTAATCGCCGCGCTCAAACTCTCCAGAACGCCATCTCACTACCGACCTCCTCGCTGCTTTCTTCCTGCCCTCCTCTCTGGCACCTTTGGTGCTTTTATTCCCATGGGTCTCTGGTACAGAAAGGTGAAGCGCCGTCTTTTCAGTTTGTGTAGTAAACAATCGAGAGTTCAGTTTTGGGGGATATCTTTGCTCTGGAAGGGGGTGGTGGTTGCCTCGTACCGATGGGAGGGGTTCTCCGATGGGTCGTTGTCTTGGCTTAGGGGCACCAAGGGGCTGAAAATTATGCGAAAAAGATTATTTTCGTTCCTTTCTGTATGCACCATAACCCACGAGATACCGCAAGATCGCTGTTGATAGTCAAACTTGCTTTCCAGAGATTTTCCGAGGGTGGGGTACAACTAGATGAGGGAATCTGTGGGGTACTTTGGTTTGAATATGGGGGTGATGCTTTGTATTCACGGGTAGTGTGTTTTAGGGGTAGTCTTGAAGCCATAAATCCAGTTTACACATACGACTGTGAGTGGGGGCTGCACGGGGGGTTGTGCAAGAGGTGTAGGGGGGGGTGGCCCTGACTCAGGGTGTTTGTAACAAGAGGCACCTTGGGGGTCAAATATATCCTGGGGCCCCTCAGGGTACCATATCCCAGTACTGCTGGTACAATATTGAGTCTCAGGTGTAGGACTTGAAGGGTGGGTAATGCAGTGGACAGCCGTAACAACAGAGAGTTCTGAAATGAAGTCACCTTCCCGGATTACAACCTTTTAGCTTTAAAAACAACCAGCTCAGCCCTTGTACCCTACCCACCAGAGGGAAACAAAATTGACAGTCGAAACCACCCGTGTGTCACGGACTCCCCGCGGCGGGGTGCATTTTATAAGTGGGAGATCCCAGGTTTACTCTGGAATTTTTACTCATCGACTAAAGTAAATAATTATCCCCTCCGGGCCGGGCCTTGTTCTGTCGATCTCCGGAGTAACTTTTTTAAAAAAAGGGCAGCGATTTTTGCTCAACTTGCCGGGCCGGAAAGCCCGACCGGCCGGGCCGGGCCGGTGCACTACTTTTGATTTGATGCATTTGATTTGATTCGAAAAAAAACTGACGTGCGGCCTCAGCCCAAAATAGAGCATGGTGGCAGTGCTGGAAAAGTCGAAGAACGTATGAGGGGCGAAGAGGACAAGAAGAGTGTTTTACGATGGGAAGGAGAGGACATGAGAAACATGCGAGGAGGAGGAGGATGGTCATGATGGTCATGATGGTCATGATGGTCATGATGGTCATGATGGTCATGATGGCATGATGGTCATGATGAAAAGTCTTGGGACAGCGAACTTACTTCAAGTGTAAGGCGGGCGGGGAGAGAAGGGAGGGAAAACATTGAAACCGAAGCTAGTTGAGGCTTCTCTTGTTTTGTGTTCAGTGATCGGGCAATAGGGAATCACGTACAGTGGGCGAGGGGAGGGAGGAGGTCAGGGCTCTAATGTTTAGCATTTTCCGGCGCTTAAAGCTATTTGAAATGACGTATGGGAGTGCTACATGGGTTGACAAAGCTGTGCAATGGAAGTCTTGACTTGTAAGAAGTTAGATAGGCGATGGTTTGCTTGTTTGTCATCAGGGTGTTTGAAGAATATTTTACTCGTTCACTGTTTTGACTTGGGTTTACTAGGAATGTTTGCCATACTAGCTCAATTCCGTACATCAATCTTGCATTACGGCGACGAAAGTGAGTGTTACATCATGAATCATCTGTAATTTTTGTTGACGGTGTTTGTTAGAAACCAAGTACAGCGATGCGCCTGGAGAGGACTACTTGTTCAACTCCGAGGGAAACAACACCGAGAACAAGCTCAAGTCACTGGGTGTGAACGTTAGCAGTTGGGGGTTCCTTCCCTCTGATCAGTAAAAATGTGTGACTGAGTGTCTTGAGCGAATTTTGGTCGATCGTATTCACCCCGCCATGTTTGGATTTCATACATAACTCCGCATGTAGGTCACCTGTAAAGTGTATATGACGTATATGACCATCCATGCTAAGAAATGATATAAGAAGGAAGCGATAATATAAGTTGCCCCAATCCAGACGTCTGTTCACATGTAATTTTTTCCTATGTAGCAAGAAAGGTAGCTCTTCCAGTCTTCAAGGACGTTGATCGATTGCCATCGCCTCTTTTACATCCACTGCAAGCTAGCTGCTAGCAGCTAGCTTGTCATTGCAAGACAAGGACCAGCCCCAGAGTGTGTGCCCGGAAATCAATTCGAATTAACGAAGAGGTCCCGTAATCACCACTCGCTGACGGAAAAATGAGACATTTTATGATACTTATTGATCATTTCTTCAAAATGGGGTGATCATTATGAACTAATTTTTGTTTTGATTTCATTCCTCGTAGCCCTGATCGCCTTTGATGCGAGCAAATAGTTGACTAGATCAAGAATGAGAAACAGGGAATGAAATCAACATATTGTACCCGGGATTTCAAAGAGAAGAAATCCACAGAGGAGGGAATTCACCGACTCCTACCACAAATTAAGATTTGCTTACTCAATTGACACGCTTACCTCAGTAGTATGGAAGTATCGCGCAGTGACATAGTTGTTTGCATTCACACAAACGACGATGATAAAGTTCATCATGGTCGCAAGATGTATCAACCTGGAAAGAATGTTGCAAACTCATGACCCAGCATCGTTTCTAAACCTGTTGGAATGATAAGTTTCCAAGCACACATGCAGCTCGAATCGGCAGAGTGCGGAGACGGAGAGAGCCAGAAAAACCTGTCGCCGAGGAGTTAGTATGGGCAAAGGCGTGCATGGCAAGTGGATTACGTGATCAGACATTATATCCTTGCTCTTCAGTAGCGTCAAGCTGTATGCTACAGCCCGTATAAGTGTCATGATGACAAAACCAGCAAAGATTCGACTAGGATCCACGTTCAGTCAGCAAGAAGAACATTCCTTTGCAGTGCCTGTTTGTGAAGTCGTTCGGCAATGAAGACTTTCCCAGGCGGGAAACAGCAAGACGGTAAAGGAGGGGAACGAAGGGAAGGAGGGCTCCTGTCTTCTTAAAGATGATGTTGAACTGATGTAGCACCGGGATAGGGGCTGATGGACGTGTAACCCCTTCCTGCTTGTCTGCTGCTCCCCCTAAGGTGAAGATAATCCCCAAGAAAGACATCAAGAGTGGAATGCCATACACTATCACGATCTGCTGCGTCGAAGGCCTGCCGGTGTTTGTGTCTGCCTGCATCTTGTCCTGGCCGTGGTAAACAATGTTTCTGTTTCTTAACTGGACCATGTCGTGTATCGTCAATCAGACGCGATTGCCAGCTGCAAGCATACGACCGTCATGCCCTTATATCATAGACCCAGAAAAATGGAAGAGGTAAGCAAGACAGAAAAAGGAAGGGTTAGCTCATTGCCAAAATGAGCATTGCATTGCTACATGATCGGCATTACTCACTTCTATGAGTTCTCACTGGTCTGGTGCAGTTTGCTATGAGAGCAGTATCAAGCTGCACGAATCTCTCTCTTCTTCTGCATAGATCTTATTCCTTCTTCCTCCTTCTACAGCAATCTCCATCTTCCATCATGCCATCAGCGTTCTTGCACTAAGTCGCTGTCGTTCATTGTCCATCGCCGCTGGCTGCAAAAGTTTGAACTCCCTACAAGACCAGCCCGTGCCCGCCTCAATTACGAATGGGCTTCAAACAGTGCCTGTCCGCCCGGCCGCTCAGCTCGGAACCGGCCGGCCCGGCCCGGCGGCCGCCGGCGGGCAGCGTTCAGAAAGAACGGAACCGTTCAACCGTTGGCCTGCCCACTGCCCGACCCGGGCCAGCCCGTCAGGCCCGGCCAGTCACTACTACAGGCGGTCCCGGGCGGCCCACCGTCACAAGTTGCCGCGTCAAGTTGCGGCCACGCCGCACGGTTTGGCAGCCTGAGTCTCTGTGTGGCCGACTCGGCGCCGCGAGGGAGTCGAGCTAGCCGGGCTAAACCGTTCACGGCTCAAAAATGCCTGTGGCCGCGGCCGGCCGGGCCTGTCGGGGGCACCACTGTCATTTGGAATCCGATTTGATTGTCCGGCGAGTCAATACAAGACTTGAACCGGGGGCTACTAATGATCAGACTGCGAAGCCAGTCATGAGACCCGTCAGGTCTTGGAACCAGCAGCCGCGCCGCTCATCATAAGCCAGCCGAGACCTTCTCCCTCCTCCCCGAACCTGAGGGACGTCAAGTCAGCGGCATGTGGCAGACTCAAGGCATGAGCATGAGCCCTACAAGCCTTCGCTGCCTCGTGAGCTCCCGAGCGACGTGTCCGAGCTAACAAGAACGTCGAATCAAGGAACATGATCACCATAGAAGCACGAGCAAGGAGGAGGTTGAAAGCAACGAACAGGAGAAGATGAGGAGTAACTGACGGCAGGCGGTGAAGGGTAACAGACGGGGAGGGAAGAGGAAGGGGGGAGAGAGGGTTGAGAGATGATGGGTATGCAAGGATTGATCACCGCCTGTCAACGGAGTCAAGCAGCCCAAGTTCCGCCAACGTCTTCTTCTTCCCCAGCTTTTGCGGACTATCTTGCGGGCCTTGAGAGGCGATCAGAGGAGGGATAACAGCTGTGAAGTTGCTGACCTTGCCAACAGCTCCCCCCCCCCTCTTCCTCCCATGGGTAGAGGTCGTCGCTGCAAGGGCTTGACTCAGTTTCTCACGTGGAGGGAGGAGGGCGGAGGGTCGAGGGGAAGACAGGAAACCTTCCAAAGCGTCGAACTCTCGAGTCTCTTGCGTCATCTAGCAGCTTTGCAGTGTGACCCGGGCTGTACTCCACCGTGCTGCCTAGGATACTGGGAGAGGAGGCGATCTGAACGGTGGGCTTGAGGTGCTTGGATAGCTGAGGCTTCATTGACCAACGAGGAGGAGACTGCTGAGGGGCGTTTGAGTCAGGACTCTCCAACTGGACTGAGTCTGCAGGTAACCCCTCGTGAGCCAAGTGAAGACGCAACGAGGAGGAAGCGGGGAGGAGTTAGAAGGAGATAACACAAGGACACGAATGTGAGTAATCGAACTAGAGGAGGCGCACAAAGGGGAAGAGGAGGAAGACCTGATGAGATGTGAACCCAGTCGAGGTCCTGCTCTTTGCTGAAGGATGTCAGAGGGTCGCAGCTTTCTGACCTCCCTGTCCCGCCTTCCTCCTTGTGCTTGCAAGCTTGTTGAGGACGTTCCTGGGTAGACAGCGGGTCGGAAGGATGGGGCACCTGCTGCAAGCCTCCTCCCGCGTTGCTCCGTGATGTCTCTCCTGCTCCAGAGGGATCCCCGTTCTCTCCGTCGCCTGCTTCCAGGATATGCTTCTGCTCCCAGTCGCTCTCCTGCTGACATGGGATAAGAACAATCATCGCATAGCTAAAGTTTGTCCTCTCACCAGCTCATCCAGGCTGTGCGATGAGCCGTTAGGGTCGCTTTCACCATGCTCGCTACCTGCGCCAGCGTCTGCTGAACTGTTGGTGCTAGTAGGAGGAAAGTCTTGGCTGCTGACGTCGATCTCTGGGGTTATCTTGATGGAAGATAAGTCCGTTACAAAGGAGTAGATGTTTTCGTCTTCACTCTCCATCAGCCGGTCAAATAGCTGCAAAACAAGGCAATCAAAACATCAAAGGTGACGATGGGAGAAGAAAGAGGTGATAGAGGTGTAAAGTTGAGGATACGGGCGCGTGATGAGGATACGGGCGCGTGCGATGAATAGCGATGAGCAGGGTGAAGACAGTTGACGCTCAAATGCAGCGGAGCTGATTGAAAAAACAAAACTTACCGAGGGTTCAATCGAGAGCCGAGTAGCATCGAGGGTTTCAATGAAGTGCAGTGCACCTGAACAGCGAGTAAAACGGCATCTAAATCATCGATGCCCATAATTCCATGTAAACGGATGTATGGTGTAGCCGACACCTCATTTACCTCCCCCCTTCTCCTCCTCTTCTCTTATTGTTTCATCATCTACAACTGATAATAAACGATGTTCTAAGAGCCTTTCGTCGATCTGTCGTCCACCATTGCTACACAACCTTCCCTCAGTTCCTCCTCCTCTTCTACCTGCGAGATGCGTAAAAAAATAAGCTGCTTCCCCGACATTCCTTGATCGAGATCGGTAATCGCTGATGAAGTCGATGTTTGAAGGCAGTTCGGAAGGGTTCGCTGCTCGTGACGTCACCCTTGATCATGGCAAGTCAGACATGAACCTCTCAGCACGATGTAGACCAGGACAGGAAGGAAATCATCTGCCGAGACCTGACCGAGTGACATCATCTCCTCTCTCCTCGTTTTACTGCAACTCACTGTCGTGTGGAGACCATTCAAGGTCGGAGCTGAACAGATATGCCTGCAAACTTCGTCATCGCAACTAGTGTGCCCTCTGCTGCTGCCCCGCCAGCTCATCGTCTGCCTTGAGTCTTACCGAGAGGCCTCCAGGATACAATCAAGCTTCTCAATGGGAGACGTTCGTTCAGACATCACCTGCATCTTCACGTTATCTCAAGAGCCTTCAAAATTCTCCAAACATGTCAACATGCCACAAACATTCACCATCATCGTCATCATCATCGACTTGGTACCTGTAGAGCTTTTACGGACTTCTCCCACGACTCGTCGTTCCTATTCGTTGCCGGGATGTCCAAGTGATCCGGCCCGATGAATCTCAGTCGCGCGATCCTCATTCTGAGCTCCGAGTCTCGTTTCCTTGACATCATGTCGGGTGCAAAAATTCGCTTGTGGATGCGAGTGGTGACATATTGCTCCAAACTGCACAGTAAGGAGTCAGAGCACTCTTGCAGAGAATCGTAGCGCGATAGTTCAATACACAACACGCGATACCAGGACTTGTCGCACAACAACACAACCCTTGCGTGTCAACGAGTCAATCAACTAACCTGTCAAGTGCGCGGATCTGCAGCTCTGCTGTTCGATTCATCCATATGGGATGCTGCAGCATCCAGTTCTCCATGTCGATGAGAAAATTCTGCATGAGCACAAGAAGTTCTCAACGACAGACAACAATCTTATGACTGCAGGAGCAGCAACTCAATACCTGTACAACCTCTCGACTCACGTCTCTCGAGTACCTTGGTCCCTCGTTAAAAGTCTTTACAAACCTTTGCAGTCGCGTGCGAAGATCCCACTGGGCAAGAGGGAGGTCAGGAGGTCAGTGAGTCACCACACAAGGGAGACTGACAGCGTTCGCCTGCCGCATGCAGGCAATGAAGTCTTCATAGTCACTCTTTCGCTGCTGGGCCAGAGCTTGAAACGAATCCTTAACACATGCGAGCAAACGCTCTCGAGTCACAATCATATTCCTCCACCATCAATTGGCACTCGCACCTGCACTTCAGTCTCCTCATGCCTTTTCCCTTCACTGTACAAGTCACCCGAGTTGTTGTTCTGGTGGAACGAGTTGCCATCGATAGCGCTTTGCACCTCTCCCAAGATCGTCTTCAGAGAGCCGACAATGGTCCCCACAGCCTTGAGGGACGACTGCTCTAGCGCCTGCCACTCCTCCCGTGACAAAGCCTTGGTGGGACTGTTGCTGTACATGCTATGAAGCTGCTGACTTATGGAGTCATCCTCTTTACTCTCTGCGATCGACTTCCTCTGCTCGTCATGTCGTGACTCGGCAGGATGGGCAACTCAAGCAACGCAAACGACGCATGCCTAGCAAGTAGAATCAGGTTCGTCCACGGAGAAGTCAGCAGACTTGAATGCTCAAGTCAATAATCTTGACCACATGTTTGTTCTCAGACATCTCAAAAACAAGCTCTCGATCACAAGAATTTCTCTCACGTCCGGCATGGCATACCGATCTAACACTGAGACAGGTTATATCCAGATTCCTTCCACACATCATCTGCAAGGATCTCCTTCCATCCTTCTAGCTCATCTCGCCGCCCCTCCTTACGCTCTCCACCATGTCTTGCCACCCATCATGACTACCCCTACCTACCGTCTTTGGAACAACTTGCAGCATACACCTTTTTTTTTTTAAAAATATGTATATTTGAAATATATTTCAAACAGGTTCTGGGAATCTGGACCTCTGGGCCACGCGTGAAACGCTCCTTTAAATTCTCAAGTACCCCCACTCATAATTGAGTACCCTACCTACCCCCTGGAACCAATTTCATCATTACCGAACCTTCTGCGGCTCAAGGGTAGCGAGGCGAGGCCAGGTACCCTTGTTAGCAGATAGTTAAGTAAAGTAATTTGGCGCGGGCCAACCCTAGGCTGACAGTGATGCACAGAATCTTGCACGGAATCCGGCGGGGGAGGTGCTGAGCGCGCGGGGAAGTGCGAGGAGAGGAGAGCAGAGCAGAGCAGAGCAGAGCAGAGCAGGAGAGTAGAGGAAGGGCGTACAAGGAGGAAACAAAACAAAAAGGGAGGAAGACAAGTTTTCAGAACGAGAGTTGAGAGGTGAAGCAGTGGTGAGGGACGACGCTGTCGAGAGCTTGTAAGGGACGCGAACGGAGATTGCATCGATCAACTGGTTGACAACGATGTTTCGTGCTCGTGGGAAGAAGGCAAAGGCCGTTGAGACACACAAGGATGTGACTCGAGTCATCAGAGAGAACAAGATCAAGTCAAGATCGTCACTGGCGACTTGGCTGTTTCTTGTTCTCTTGTTCGCATCCTCGATCGTGGTTGTCTTCGTTGCCGACAAGATGCAGTCAGAGTACTTCAACGAAGACAACGAATCTCCCGATGGCTTCAACCGGACATATGCTGTAAAGAGCATGGAGCATATCAAACAGCTATCTGCCATTGGCGTGAGGATGATAGGAAGCTTGCAGAACGAGAAGGTTGCGAGGGACTACTTGGTCCAATCGCTGCTTGCGATCCGAGCCAACTCCAACAGCTCGATGCTGGTAGAAGTTGCGACTCAGCAAACGAGTGGGAGGTTCGATACAGATTTCCTTGGAGGACTGAAGAACGTCTACAGCAACGTCACTAACGTCCTTTGCCGAATTTCTCCCAGGGCGGACAAAATGTCCCGAGCGCATTCGCTCCTCCTGAATTCTCACTTTGACACGTCGATTGGAACAAGAGGAGCGGGGGATGATTTGTCGCAGGTGACTTCCCTCCTTGTGTTCCTCTCCCCTCCTTGAATTATCCCCTCCCTTCCGTCTCATCCTGCCTCCTCTCTTGTCTGTTGGAGCAGGCTCTTCCTTGTCTTCGTCTCTCTCCTCGCCCTCTTCTCCTGATCTTCCACAGGTTGGCGTCATGCTCGGTCTAGCAGAGCTCGTCGCCTCGGGCAGGCATTCCATGTCCCATGCTCTTCTCTTTCTCTTCAACGGCGCCGAGGAGTCGAACTGGCTCGCAGCACATGGTTTTATTGTCAACAGCTCTCCAATCTCCTACGAGACTCCGAGCAGAGAAGCTGAAGAGTTTACTAACTGGGCTGATAGCGTAAAAGCGGTAAGCCAGCCGGTCGAGCACAACACACGGACGATCTGTGAAGCAGCATGCAGGTGATCAACCTTGAAGCTATCGGGTCCGGAGGGAGAGAGCTATTGACAAGAACGACGTCGAAGGTTCATTACAACCTTGAAGAGATCATCTCCTATCTTCCTGTCTTACCTTCTTGCTCCTCTCCTATCTTCCTGTCCTACCTTCTTGCTCCTCTCCTATCTTCCTGTCCTACCTTCTTGCTCCTCTCCTATCTTCCTGTCCTACCTTCTTGCTCTTCTCTCTACCTCTCCTCCGGTCATCCCGTTACCCTGTCCTCCTCTCGATCTCTCTATCCGCTATCGCAGTATCACACGCCTCCATGTCTACCTAGCTTTCTACTTTACTCTCTTTCTAGCTGTCACCGTATCCACGTCCTAATTTCCCAATCTTGTCACTTTTTGTCTTTCTGCCATTCAATGTCGACATCATTCATATCAGTTCCTCTGACACAGCCTCCAAGGCTTCTCCGCTTATCAACGCTTACAAGGTGGCAACGAAATATCCCCGAGGTTTTCTTGTTTTCTGTTTGCGCACCGTTTGCACAAGTTAACAGGATCTTGTAGGAAATGTGATAGCAGATGAAATCTTCCGCTCGAAGATTTTCCCGGGTGAAACAGACCTGAGTGTTTTCAGAGACTTTGGCAAGATACCGGGTTTGGACATCATCTTCGTGGAGAATGTGAGGATTTGAGTTGTCAGTCAGCAGAGTCTGACTCCGAATGGCAGGGGTACGGCTACCATGCCGCTGAAGACAAGCTTGAACGGCTGAAGGAGTACAACCTTGGTCGCGAAGGCAAGCATTTGTATCGGCTCTGCATGAACCTGGCCAACACAAAGGACCTTGCAACCCTGCAAAAGTTGAATGGGACGGAGCACAACAAAAATGACGATGTCTTCTTTGATTTCCTGGGTGTTCACTTGTTCTGGTATTCTGCGGATTTCGCTTTTTTCCTCAACATCGGAGTTGCTGCCTCGATGCTTCTGTGGATCCTTGATAAACGGGGGTCGTTGTTCTTGCTCCGCCATGTTGGGAATGCGATGGTGCGATTCATCGTCATCATCTTTGCCTCGGTCGTGATAGGAGTTGTCATGATGTCCTGGTCGCCGCTTTCATGGTACAGGTGAGTCTGAAAAGCTCGTCGATCTAAGGAGATGTCTTTAGCTTGTTGTTGATGGTTTACTGTTGATGATTGCTTTTGATGCTCTTGATTGATGGCAGAGTTCAACCCTTGCTATCTAGTCGCTCAATCTCTATTTCTGTCCTTGTCTGCGTCTTGTTTCTTGTCAAACTTATCTGATCATCGACAGCGATCCCCAACACGCAATGCTCCTCTTCCTCCCTCCTGCTCTGGCATCTGCTCTCCTCGTTCACTCGATGGTACTCGGAGCGCTTGTATGACCCCTCTCACATCACGAAAGGCAAACAGCGCTTCCTCCTCCATCTTGGGCGGAGCAGCTTTCTTGTCTATCGGTCAAGCAGCGATGACATTGCTCGGTAATTAGGGAGGAGGAGAAGGTAGTGATGGTAGTGGTGGTGATGATGAAGTGCCCAATACGGAGAATGATTATGAAATGCTGCATACACTTTCTATGACGGGCTTGATGGTATTATCGGCAGGAATTCGCTCAGCGTATGTGGTGATGTTGTGGACCTTTCCATTGGTGGTGGTGGTCTACTCCATCGATGTAGGGAGCATGTTTTCAAGGAAGCTGAGCAGACTCAAATTTCTTCATGGCTCGGGTACAAGAGTGCCAGCTTGTATCATTTTTCTCCTCTCACGAGATCTCATGCAGATTTCAATGTTTCTTTCTTTCTTCTCTTTACCGTCTGCTGCCTTCCTCCCGTTCTCTACTGGGTTGAGGTGACTGAGATTCTCGATCTTCACTCCTTCTCGTCACTTCGTTCCTCACAAGGTGATGCGAACTGTTCTTGCCATTTTCCTCCCTGTCATGGGAAGATGTGGCATGATCTTGAAGCCCGACGTCTTCATCTCTGCCATCGTTGGCTTCTTTGTAGCTATCTTGACATTAATCCCATGCTCGGCTCTTGGTGGGCTGCGATCTTCTCCCAAGCAAACCCGGCTCATCGGCCTCGTCCTTCTCCTCTTCACTGGCTATCAAGTCATAGTCAGCAAGGAGAAGAGTCCCTACTCTCGGGAGCGACCGAAAAGACTTTTCGTGCAGCATGTTGAGAGAAGGTCTCTCAGCACTTTATCTTCCTCTTCCTCCTCCTCTTCCTCCTCCTCCTCTTCCTCCTCCTTTCTCGATTCTGGTCTCTGGATCAATGGCATGGACACTCTCGCGTTACAGCCTCTCCGTCGTCTAGGCAAGAGCTTGCACACCAAATCGTCGTCCCTAACACGCTACACCCTTTCCCCTTCTCTCTCCTGCCAGGTGTGAAGGAGTGGGAAGAAGCCAAGGCGCATCCTTGCCGTTCGTCTCCTCCCTACCATCCCTTGCCTGACCCAGCAGCAGGAGGGCTGGCGTGCAACCTACCCTGGTTCTTTCCTCTTTCCGATGAGTTACAAGGGGGTTGGCTCCTACCTGCCAAGTCGAACTCCGATATTTTATCTTTCTCCTCTGATTTCCCTTCAGGGCTCCCCCCATCAGTGAATCACGGAAGCTGAAAGTCACGGTCACCAAGGAGACGGGGAGCTCTCAAGGTCGAGCGAGGGAGAGGGAGGAGGATGTAACTTTGCAGCAGGGAGGAAGTTTTCCCTGTCCCTCGACGGCCCATCGCACATGGCGCTCATAATCCATGATCCCAACCATCAGGTTCATCGTCCCTCCTCTCGCACTCCTGCGTCATTTGAAGCACCCGCTCTGATGCACCCCCTTTTCTCCGCTTCCACCTTTCTCCCTCCCTCCCTCCCTCCCCCCTCCTCCCTCCCTCCCTCCTCCCTCCCTCCCTCCCTCCTCCCCTCCCTCCTCCCCTTTCTCTCCCTCTCTATTTCCTGCTCTTCCTGAACGTCTCTCAGATCTCAGCATGGAACTTGAACACACTCTCAACCGATGCCGGGAGCAACGAGGTCGCGACTAGGCGAAAGGACAGCTCCTACTTCATCTACTTCGCCAGCGGACTTGCCGCTCCTTCCACCGGGCTCCATCCTTGGCGCATCTGGGTAGATCCTCTTTAGCTCCCTCCTCTTGCATGACGGAGTGGACAGGTGGAGGTTCGAGGGGAGGCTGCGGTCCATGTAGCAGCCTTTGGTCACTACCTGCTGGTAAAGTGTCTTTCCTCCAGTGTTAGTCTGACTCGCCACCGACAGTTTGACAACAACGGTGAAACAGATCTGTCAGGCTGCAGCTTCAGCGAGGAAGCGAGCAACTTTGCATCCTTGCTGCCCCACTACCTCAAGCCCATCTGCTTCTACGACGTGCTCTACAACTTCACGCTGTAAAAGAGAGAGACGAACAAGCTTTGCAAGAACGTATCTTTCTCTTTTCAACACACGATGAGAGCAAACAACAAGGAGGTCAAGACAAACTTGATCCTGTGCCTCTGCCAGCCCTGTCGTCCTACCAGCCCGCGCCATCTGGATCTTCCCCCTGCGCCCACTCGGGATGGTGCCAGCTCTCATACCTGTGTGTTGTATGAGCAGCCGAAGACAGAGATACGGAGACTTGCGTACATGTCATAGACTTCGTCCGGGTCCTTGGCAGGGTCCAGGGTACTGGATCACAACGTTAGCGTCCTCCTCCTAGATCCCCTCCTTCAGCTAACCTGTCATTGCGATCCATGCTCGTGTCGGACTCCCCCCATAGCTGCGAAAACTGTCTGGCGCAATGGATCTTCTGAATGAGGCCTGCTGACATGTCAGAAGGAGAATCTGCAGCGCGGCTGACACAAAGGTCACATAAAGACAAACAGTCTTAGGATGAAACACCATTTGTTTCACGGAAGGAAACATCGGGAGACAAAATCTTCATGTTAGTCAATTACGACATTCTAGGAGCAATAGAGATGAGCTATATTGCGATCAGAGCAAGCTCAAAGTTCATCACATGCAAGTCTTCACTACAACCTGACGGCATGACTTCATCAAGCCTTGACTACAACTTCACCACATCAAGCCTTGACTACAACTTCACCACATCAAGCCTTGACTACAACTTCACCACATCAAGCCTTGACTACAACTTCATCCCATCACTCGAACAAGTCTTGAGCATCGTCATCAACATTTGCCGCTCATCTCTCAAGCGGTCACTTCTGAGCTCTCACCGAACATGGCGCCGCTTCCCCTTTTAGGACAACAATCCTTACTTCAGTGACGCCGGGCCCGGGCCGCCCCGCCCCGCCGGCGGCCGAGGGTCCCGGTCCGATTCGCCGAGTCACTGGAGTCCGAACTGACTTTTTACTCAAAGTTAAGTTAAAAATCAGTACGAGGACAATCAGGAGAGTCGAGGAGGCTTGAGAAGAGGCTTGACCCTGACACTGACGCACAGGCCTCGAACTGAGGAGTCCGATCAGCACGGCAGTTTACTCACTGAGTCAAAGCCTACGACACACAGGCTACTGGAGGCGTTTTTGACCATGACTCGAGTGATGGGATATGATACCAGACCCCGGCCCGCGGACCTGGCTCGGAGCAAAGTGCAAGCCTCCGAGGGAAGCGGAGTGACTGCGGCACCGTGGCAGGCCGGGGCTGACAGTCATCATGTCATGATCGGAGGCCCGGAAGATCCCGCCGGTCCGGGGCCGCATCCGGCGTCACTGAGTAATGCTGATAATGCCACCGGCACAGCCGCGGGACACGGTGGCGGGACGTGACGTCCCGCGGTGGCACTGACTCGCCGGGCCCTCGCGGCAGTGACTGACCGTACGAGCCTACTGGCTAACGGTCAACGGTTGTTGAGGCTTGTACCAGTCACTGAGTGTGCCAAAGTAACTGGCAAGCCTTCCGAAGTTCCGAGACACAGGCGGGCTGAGTTCAACTGTTTTTGCCGCCCGCCGCAAGTTGAAGACTCGGCCCGTCGGACTCCGTTTACTGAATGCACACTGGCACTGCGGCACGAAACTTGACTCTTGAAACCAGAATTGAGGAGCACATGAGAGATCGGACAGTGACTCCCGTAGGCTGAGACTGCCATGTACGTACAGTGCCACCGCTAGGACTCCGGGATGTGAAACCCAAGCACTGACTCGACCGTATCGGACGGTGACTGGCACTGAGTGCAGTGCGCCGGAGACTGAGACCTTAGCAAGACTCAGCCGGCGGCTCAGCGGCCGGGCTAGCCTCGGAAGCCCGGTCCGAGTCCTCTTCCGATTCCGAGTTCGTCAGCACTGTTGCCGTGGCCCGAGTCGAAACCGTACGTAACGGTCGTCTTGGTTACTAGGTGTGTCCGGTACGCTACTGTCGGTGACGTTATTCTGGCCGTAAAATTTGCGTAGAGTGCAAATTGCAAATCAGGTTCGGTATCAACTTTACTATCTGCAAATGTGAATTTCGATGAATTTCAAGTTTCAAAAGTTTCAAATTACACGAGGAAATTACGAAATTGATGGGGGCGATCATGCTTCCGAATGGAGCGAACAGCAGCACCATGGCACAAGGCACGCATGCCTCATGCCTCAGCGGATCAGGGGCCGAATCTCCATTCGATGGAGATGAAGATCCTTGCGCACAAAACTTCCGTATCCTGATGCCGTCATTGAATGAAGATATATGCGTTGCGGACGGTACCATCAAAACAATTACGAGATGAGACAAATGGTATGATCAGCGGCCATCAGTACAATTCGTGCACTCGATCCTTCAAGATGGAGAGGAAACTTCATTCAACATTGGAAAAGCTCATTAAAACAATTAGCAGGAAGGTGCACATGCAGCAAGGAGTTGTACGACTTCGCAAGTATCATGGAGGAGGCTTGACCCTGACACTGTCGCACAGGCCAAACGGCGAGAAGAGAAAAGACAGCGAGAACCAAACCTATCAGGAGCACTTCAATTTGAGTAAAGAAGACGAGAGCCCTGACACATCTTTACTCAAAGGTAAGTATCAGGAGCCACTTCACGGGAGTCCGATCGTGGTACAAAGCCCAGGTGAGTGTTCAACGGTTGCCGGCCCAAGAGTTTCCGGCGGCCCGGATTCCCTGGAACGATCATGGCACCGTCGGTCAGCGGCGGTTAATGATGGCAGTCAGGTCACACCGACAGGCCCAGTACAAGGCAGCACTATTATCTCGAGATCAGCTCGGAGGCCATGGGTGGAGGCCGCAGCGAATGCCCTTTTTTCACAATAAGGAGTGATTTCAACATGCTCTGGTTTCTTTGGTGCCGGATAGCCGCAAGTTCATGGCTGTTGACACCCGATCTTAAACAAATCTCCCGTCAGCCGGAGATACCTCTGTCTAGCGAGGCGGGTTTGCCTGGAATATCCTCTAGGCTATGTGCAATAGACACCGTATGCTCTCCGGGGGTACTGTGAGGACCGGTGTAAATTTATTATCAAGAAGGGGTGACAGGAGAGATAGGCCAGTAAGACTGAGGGGTGGGGTCTAGAAAAGCCTCAGAGTATCAGTAGAGTAGTAAAGGTAGTAGTAAAGGTATGGAACGTAGGACATGTGAGGGCCCGAAGAAGGCGCGGCAGCGAGCCATGTTCAACTGGTATAAGGAAAAGGTACTGAAGCCTTTTACATATATTTTTAAAGATTCCTGATTGTATTGCAAAGCTACCAAATGTAGAGTAAGCGGTACAAATGGTTCGAGTTGGTTTCCAATTGCTAAAACCGCCTCGTGACAAGTAGCCGCAGCGCTGGAGGAACCAGAGGAAGCAATTCCCTACACCTACCGGGTCATTTAAAGGGCTCAAAATGGATATGATGGGGTGGGGTAGGGTTTTCCCCTGTCACGAGACACCCAGAGCCTGTAAGAGGATACAGCAAAGGCCCTTTCAAAACGTTGTGAAAAAGAAACGATTCATTTCCGGAGATCAACGAGATCGACAAGCCACTTCTCCGAGGTGTTAATGCGCGTAATGACACCGGAAGGACCCCACCCTTTTTACTGTCTACAGGGAGGGGTTCTCGCTGATGAACCCCACTTGACTCAATGATGACAGATTCAATTTAGCAATATAGGGCACAAAAGATCTCTTTTCACCTTCAAAACATTTTTTTGCACTTTCTGGAGAGCCGTAACTTGACGAATCGCTGTATGTTCTGACAAAAATAAGTATGATGACATCAAACAGTTCTATTCTGCTGAGATTCGCTGACAGTTTTTCCCAAACATTGCGATCTGGACTTTTGCCTGCCAATATATCCCTTTGCGCTCTCGTCGTTGGCCCCCCGTCACCCAATCTCCGACAGATCCAACTTGTTCCTCTCCCACTCCTCCTCCCTCTCCTACTCCTCCTACTCCTCCTGCTCCTCCTGCTCCTCCTGCTCCTCCTGCTCCTCCTGCTCCTCCTTTCTTGAAACCTATCCTATCAGAACACTGCCCTCTCCGAAGCTCCTCGGACTTCAGAGTCAGATTGACGCGCTGCGTGTCGAATGGTAAAAACTATCCAAAGGACAAAAAAAGACAGCCAGAGGATCATGCAATTGTCAAAGGAATCATTTGAGGATTTTTATGGGTACAAGCCCCTTGTCTCACCAGTGAGTACTGAGGATAACTTGGTCACGGATTTCGCGCGTTTCCGCGGGTACAACGAAGATCAATCAATCCGTGTTGCTTTCGATTCGATATGCATCGATGACATGAATGCAAAAAGGAAGGATCTTTCCATGGAGACATGGGTCGACACTATCAGACGTTTTGATGACTCTTACCCCGCAACGGGCCAAACGTGCATTGCCAAAGCGATATCAAGGCGTGACCTCAATGAATCCGTCGGTGCTCGCGTCTGCTGATTCCGCACCCATGTATAGATTCTAAACTTAACATTGGTGGTTTTCCTGTGTAGATTTTGAATTGGTATGTTGGCAACTTGCTTTTTCTACCAGTTGTAAAATAGCTAGCTCGTTAAATGTATGGTATTGTATTATAGGATATCTTGTTTTGTAATGAAACACAACAACCCTTCTATGACCACCATCAATCAGATTCTTCAAAGATTCGTCTCCAAGAGAAACGTCGCCTCTGTCCGATTGGCATGGAAGCTGCTTTGCTCGTTTACTGTGTGCTGGACGTACGCAAGTATCTCAGAAAGATAGTCTGGATCATTCCCTCCTTGTATTTGTTAGCCTTTTGCGTGAAGAAGAAAGTTTAAGATCTTACTTACAAGTTCACATACGCAGCACTGTCCTAGGAGGATCAAACAACATAAAATTTTAGGATTGAATGAATTCAAAATCTTTTCGAATGTCGCCTGCATATCACTTGTAGCTGTGGTTCTCCTCTGCACTGAATTGACCATCTTGAGGGTACAGCAGGTCTGACCATGAATGCATCATCTTTGCAACTTTCCCGTTGCTGCTCTTCCGCCGAGCTTGTTCTCCGCATTGAAATCACAACTCGTTCGGGGGGGGGGGGGGGGGGGAGGTCGTCGTTTTCGACAGTGAGATTAATTCACACAACTTTTTCAGATGTTGAGTACGAAGGCTGTTGAGAACGTTACAGCATCTGATTTGCTGCAACAAGTGATGTTATGATTGGATCTTGCTTGTTCTCCCTGATCCTAACAACTTGTTCCCTGAACCAGCGGCTCCGAATGCAGAATTTCCATCTCCTCTGTGTGTCGTTTTACTTGAGTCTGAATGATCCGAAGGAGGCAGAGAGCGTGCGCGAGAGCGCACGGGAGCGAAAAGAAATCAATTGGAATCATCAAAGGCAATCCAAAGCTAGGCAGAGGATAGAGCAACCTACATCATGCCTTACCAGGGAAAGATGAGGGCCAAAGCAGAGGCAGCTCAAACACTTAAAACACTTACTGGACGAGCGACAGAATGCACGAGAAGCAGGGCGGCAGGGATCTGCACGACGAGCAGCAGCGCAAGGATCCTGCTGAATGGACAGCGACATTCATGCAAGCTCTTTGCTGCCGAAACAGACGAGGGTTCACACTCAGCGTCTACTTACGCATCCATCCCTGGCACTAACAGCATCAAGACCATCCGCAGCTACAGCAAAGAAAAGCCTGCAGAGTTCTGATGCTGTTGATCTCTATCGATAGAGTGGCATTGAGAGGAAAACGCTCGTTTGTTGTTGTGTGTGTGCGTATACGGTGCGAACGAAACGAGGCTTGACAGCGCTAGTCAAACGATTGTCACAAGTAGTGCAAGGTACGGAATTAGCCCGGCATGTAAGTGGTAGAGGCTGCAGTGAAGCACGACTGCACGGTCTTGGTCCTCAGCCTCCCTCTCTTCTCGTCTACCTGCTGAGTTTTTCTTGTCTCGTGCTCTGGTGTATCCTTGGTATGGCAGCTTTTCTAAATCGATCCCTTCCTCCTCCCTCCCTCCCTCTAACTCCCTCCTTATCTTATTCCCTCCTGTATTCCCTCCCTCCATCCATCACTCCATCCTTATCTTTTCCCCTCCCCTCCCCTCCCCTCCTACCTACCTACCTACCTACCTACCTACCTACCTTCTTGTGACCTCCCTCCCTACCTACTCTCCCCTTTTCTCCTATTCCCTTCGCCCCTTTCTGCCTGGTTTCGTTTCGAGACTTTTCTTGGTTTGCCATGTTCTGAAGATTGAAACCCTGCCACAGGTTTTCTGACATCCACACGTGGGGGAGATTGTTTCTAACGATTCTTCTACTGATGTTGTTTGCACATAGGTTTGTTCGGCTATTCGATGTCAGTGGCCAAGATACTTTCCAAACAAACTCTATCGGGCAGGTTGTTCGGGTCACCAATGTTGACGGTAAGCTCGCATCCTTTCCTGCTCTACTTCACTAAGAGCGATGGTGACAATGACTCTGCTGCTGTTTGAGCAGGCGTGTCTCCTGTAGACCTCTCCTACCCCAACGCCGATCCCTCGGCATGGCTCAGCGTGGACACGGGCACTGCCGACGTTGCAGCTGGAAGCTCCGACTCGACGGCTGCCAATTCGAGCATGGTGCTTCACGCTACACCACTGACCTGATCAGATTCTCCGTCCCTTGACCACGAGCTTGACTTGATCTCATTCAGCGCCCTTTGCTGTTTTCTACTGCTTTGTTATCCCTTTGCTGTTTTCTACTGCTTTGTTATCCCTTTGCTGTTTTCTACTGCTTTGCTATCCCTTTGCTGTTTTCTACTGCTTTGCTATCCCTTTGCTGTTTTCTACTGCTTTGTTATCCCTGTTCCTCGCATCAAAAGGTCATAAGATTGTTTGACTAGGTTGCCGCGTCTTATGGCAGAGGGCTCAGGGGATGCACCCCCGGCTCGACCTGTCGAAGAGCTCCCGGAGTGCGAATCGTTGACGGTACATGACACATGCTCCCTCCCCGCTCCTAACGTCCTCCTTCGCCATGATAGCTACCCTCGGACTGGATCCTCCGCCTGCTGCCGATCCTCTAGAAGATCCCCAAGGCTCAGATGCCGCCGATGGCACTAGGTACTCAATCTTCGAGGAAGAAACAGTTCTGAGAGTCTTGATCGGCAGGTATACATGGCATCCGATCGCTGACAGCGACCCTGGTGAGGAGCAACTTATCGTTAAGTCCCGTCTCTCGCTTGACTGACCGACTTCACGTGCGAAGATTTCTGGGGTGCTTGTGACCCGTCGGTCCGATCAGCTTGCTATCCTTCGCCTACAGCCTCCGCTTGACATCTCTTGACAAGGCCGCGGGCCTACTAGGCTAGTTGAACTCAAAGAGTAATCCTTGACACTGCTGGCCGCACTGCACGTTGCCCGCCGGCCCGGGCCCCAGGCGCCGCCACCCTTTGGCAACTCGGAACTTCGGAACCGTTCAACTTGCCAGTGGCAACGTTCAACCGTTGGCAACGGTCCGATCCGACATGGTCCGACTGCCAGTGCCAGGTCGGTCGGTTGCCGCCGCCGCCGCACCGGGTTGCGGCAAGCCTGGCCGTAACGGTACGTTACGGTACGCCGGTACGGTAAGAACCGTGAACTGAATAGTAAACACTGCAGTGACAACTGACAGTGAGTTGAACTCCGTTGGCCCAGTGGGCCGCGCTCGCCGCGCCGGCCCGCCGCCGACTCGGCCGGTCGGCACTGCCGCACATTAAGTTTGGCCGCTGCCACGGTGACTCGTGACTCGCCGTGACGCCGCCGAACTTCATCGGATGGCATCATGGCATCATAGCGGCCATACTACTGATAGCCTCGAATTGCGTCACTTCACTTCTACAATGCCGAGCAGTGCCGGGCGGCCGCCACTGTCACGAGTCGGACTCGGGGGCCGGGCCGGGGACTCAGTCCGATCCGGGACGGGCTCCGGGCCGCCCGTCCGATCGGACGGTCCGATCGGCCCGCGGCCCCGGGCCCCGGGCCCGGGGCCGGGTCGGTTTGAGTTGGTAGTACGGGTTTCTTGAATGCTACATTAAAACCAAATTTAGCTGGGGTAATTTGTATCTTGCCATAGTCATTATAAGTGTCCCCTCAGTACTATTTGTTTGTACCTGTGACCATTGACTCTTACCAGAAATATCAAAACTAGTTTTTTAAGTTTGACTGTCAAAATAGTTATAGCTCCAGGGGTTGTCCTTCTGGGGACTATAGCATCGGGGTGGGGGGGTGGGGGTACTACGGATGAAGGGGCCTGGAACCGGCATTTGAAGGGGGATGGTTGCCCGGAGCACAATTAAGAGGGTAGGGGTAGTCGATAACTTCTCCCACAGGGGATAGGTAGAGTACTCTTGTATCTGGTATAGAAGGTGCATATAGAAAAGTGAGATGTACAGCAGGTCTGAGACTACCCCCTTGAGTCTTATCTTTTGGAAGACACGTGGGGTAGATGGAAATGATATTGCAGGCCGGGGGGTAGTAAATAGACTAATAGCGGATATATCTGCAATTAGGAATAGCTCCTCCGCCGCGATGGCTACGACCGATGTCAAAGATAGACAATGCAGCGGGGGAGGGGGAGGAGAAGGAGGAAGAGGAAGAGAGGAAGGAAGGAAAGAAGAATGGACGAATGCAGGGGTTGAAGAGGTTGACAGAGGTGGTATGAGCTCGACGATGAAAGCAAAAAAAGTCTTTACATAGACGATTGGAGGACAGACAAGAATATCGACCAACTTTGATGAACCAAAAGCATTCAGAGATTTGAAAGGAAATTCAAAGACACTTGCTGTTTTCAGGGGTGTTGAGAAATCAATGATTTGAACTTTACGCACCTGAGAGGTTCAGGTCTCGATATGAGTCCACTGGTCAAGATACTCGTTGGCGCGGAGATAGCAACACACTAGTTTCATACTAGCAATGCCGCGTTTGAAACTGAATGTCTTTAATTGCAATCATTCTAACCTGTTTTCTCAGGCTGATATCATATTGGAAGCAAGGAGGGCTCACATCAACTTGAAATCGAAAAAGTATTTCTCTGAACCGCGCGGGCAGAAACAAGCTCCGCATGAGGTCATGAAGGAGTGATAAGCAGCAGAGCTGTGAATATTTCAATCCATATCAAAGATTGGGTGTTATTGACTGCTCCGAACTCACCATGGAGGCATTTCTGGCATCTAAAATGAATTCAGAAGTGGATATCATAACAACAATTATTACACAAATGCGTGGTGGAAAGGTGGATCACAGAATCAGTTTCGAAGAGATGTGCAAGGCTCTGGACAAAGATGCAGACGATCAAGAATACCTGGTGCAGGTATGCAGTGGAGGGGCTCGATTGGCTCTCGTCCCTTAGCGTGTCTTGATGCAGGTGGTCGCCTCTGCCATCGAGTCTGCAGTGGAGGCAAACGATAAGAAACCGCACCAGCTAGACTCGACCTCGTTCATAGCTTCTTTCTACGGGACACCTCCTCCTATATCTGTACGCCTTCACGCTTGTATGTTTGCTTCTATGCTGAACGTCGCCGTCAGGCACACGCCTACATCAAGAGGATTTACAAATACGGAGGGCTGTCGCCTTGCAACCTTGTGGTTGCTCTGGTCTTGATTGAGAGGCTCTACAGTATCATGGGCGAGAACAAGACAGACAAGAAAGTGTACATACCTCTAAGATCTACCTCCTTCCAGGTTGATCGAACCACCGAAGTGTCAACTTCTGGTTTCTAAAGTGGTGACAGCGAATGTACTTGACCGCCGCCATGATATCCTCAAAGTTCGAGGATGGATATTACTACAGCAATGCCCACTGGGCTGAAGTAGCAGGCATACCTCTACCAGAGCTGAACCGGTATACGTCTCCAGGACCTCCCGACAGCAACTGACACCAACTCAGCCTCGAGCTCAAGTTCTTGTTCGGCATTGCCTTCCAGGTTCAAGTGCATAGGGAGACATATGACATGTGGTGCAGAAAGCTGACAGAGCTTGTGAGGTAAGAAGCTGACAGGGCTTGTGATGCCTTCAAAGGCAGGACTGACTCTCATGACAGCGGCGATGGCACGCAGTTGCGATCCCAAGGAATGAATCGCAACCTCATGCGGGCAGCAGCCAAGTGGTCTGCCAGCAAGCCCAAAGGGTTAGAGTGTAGCCTCGTGCAATCGTACACTCCCACTGACCCAGGAGTCCTGCCGCAGGTACCGTCCATGGCGCGCCGGAGAGCAACCTAGCTCGTCACAGGTTGGTACCTCTGACCTCCTATGTGATGGCGTTTGGCTGCGAGAGTTGATGGAATGTCTTTTTAGGATCCAAACTCGTTACAGCGGGAGCAGAGCTGGGAGGGAAGCGAAGCCAGTGCTGAGGATTAGCGGACACCCCCGGTATTTCAACGGTTTTCGTTGGCGGGACAGGTCAACGGGGGGCTAATGGTGTAGACATGCTGCCTCGCCGCACTGAGTTCCAGGGACAGCCGAACTCGACCTAACAGGCTGCTCACGGTATCCAGAGTGGAACTTAACCATCGGCTCCGGAGATCCTCAGGTCCCACAACCCACAGTGACTCGCCAGTCGATTTTGTCGAGTCGTGCGAGCTTTTTTCAAAAGTTTTGATCGGCCAAGCAGCTTCACAGTCTAAATAAACCTGAGTTGAGTCACGCTGTGCATACCGTACGGCCTCAGGATGAGCCAAACCGCAACCCCGCACTGCCGTCTACGTGCGGCAGCTCAACGGTAGGCACTGGCCGGCCACACTGCAGCTCTACCGTAGTACGGTACTCCTGCCAATTGCCAGTGTCCCCCAAACTTGAAACGTAACTGACACCTTCACTTAACTGCGCGCGGACCATTCCCCCGCGCCATGTCAGCGATGTCGCTGAGGCCGCCGCCGAAGGCATTAGACGCCGCGCACTGTACCTGAACGCACCCGGCCGCGGCGGCGGCGATCATCGGCCCGGATCATGCCGCACCATCAGAGCTGGCGATGAGCTGAGCATATCAGGGCCTGGTACTCTTCTCAGTGCTGTCTACCGAGCTTGGCTGTCAGAGGCTTCAGGCCTGCCGGGTCCGCCGCCGGTCGGAGTAGTGACTGTCCATCGGACGGCCAAGTCACAGAGTCGACTGAGGCCGCCCGGCTGCCCGGGCCGCTGTCTAAGTTCCGAGCTGCTTGCCGGGTGGAATCGGAATGCGGGGAGGTGGAGGGGGTGAAGGCGGACGCGGCGGAGACAGAAGGAGAGACGGCATGAGAGGTTGTAGCAGCAACCGACGACATGAGAGGTTGTAGCAGCAAGCTGCTCCGAGGGGCCTCTGACTGATCCAACAAGAGCTCCTCTCCCAGGCTCGAGGGATGCGGTGACTAATGCTTCGGTGTTGAAGATCCTCCTGACCTCCTTCAGGCGTCTTAGCCTTTCCTCCACTGTCTCTCGCTGCCTCCTCTTTGCCAGACCACGTTTAGGCGTCTGCACCTTCGTCTGCAGGTTCCTCCTGGTACAGTCAGCTCAACGAGCGCTCCATGCAGGCGCCCCTGCCTTCGTGTCCCCAGTCCTGACAAGCAGATTGATATCATACGGGCAGCCTTCTGCCTTCAGACGGTCCCCTTCCCCCAGCCATCGCTACAAGTTGTTCCCTCCCTCACTGTCCTTATCATCTTTCTCTACTGTGCTCGCTGCCAGCGCTGGCCGGCACACAGAGAATGCAGCAAGAGTTTTCATCGTGGGGGCTGGCATTGGAGGGGTAGAGCACCTGACAGTGAGGGCGCAAGAGGTTTTGAAGCGAGCAGACGCTGTGGTGTATGACTCTCTTGCAGACGAGGTCAGACGTGGGGATAAAACTCCTCTTTCTCCTCCCTCCTCTCCCTCCCCTGATCTCCCCGCCTCCCTTCCTCCCTCCTCTCCTGATTTCTCCTATCCTCTCCTCTCCCGTCACTCTCCTCTCTCTCTCCCTCCTTCTCTTCTCTCCCTCCTTTTCTCCTTGCATGACTGATGACCTCCCTCCATTTTCCTTCCCCTCTCTTCATCTTTTCCTTACTCTCTCGCTTATGCTGATCCGTTAGCTTGCAGGAGCTTCTTTCTCTCGTGCCGGCGCATTGCGAGCGATTGTTCGTGGGCAAGAGAGGAGGGATGAAAGAGACCTCGACGAAGCAGCAAGACATAGATCGGCTTCTAGTCGAGCTTTCTGCTGATCCCTCCAAGAGATGTATCGTTAGACTTAAGGTGAAGATGATGTGCGTGCTGGACAATGTGATATCTCTCTTGTCCTCCTTGCTTCTCTCTCGCTCCCTTCTGCTTTCTCAACCCAGAAGGGTTGAAAAAGCTTCCCTCCCTCCCTCCCTCCCTCCGGGCCGTCCCTCCCTCCCTCCCTCCCTCCTCCCTCCAGCCCTCCTCCCTCCTCCCTCTCCTCCATTTTTTTCTAGGTTCGAATTTTTTCCTTTCATAAGGTGGAACCAAGAGTGCTGAAATCTACGAAACAAATTCGAAAATATCCCCATTTATTTCAACAAGTTTGAAAAATGTATGCGGGACACCATGGGGGGTCCGCCTCAAGGGCTGCCGCGGCTAGAAAGCATGCTATCTAGAAGGAGGAAGAGGGAGGAGGAGGGAGGGACGGAGGGAGCAGCATGAACACGACGAGGATTGGATACTATCGGTGATGGGAGTTGCTCCAGCTGATAGACAGTACTACCAGAGATCCAAGCCTTCCTGGAACTGTTTTCGGTTC